GTCAGTCTTTTCACCAGTACAAGTGGTCTTTTTGGGGGGTACTGGTGTTTGAACTCAGGTCTTCAAGCTTGCTAGGCTGGTGCTCTACCACTTGAGCCAGGCCCCTAGCCCTGTACAAGTGATTTTGATCACTGACTTACAGTAAGTTCTAAAATCAGATAGCATAAGTCCTAACTTTGTTTTTCTTATTAATATTGCTGTAACAAATCTAGGTCTCTTGAATTTCCATGTGAACTTTTACATTAGTTTCTACAAAAAGCCTTCTAGGATTGGTTAGGATTATGTTAAATTCGTAAATCAATTTGGGAAGAATTGACATCTTAATGATCCTTAATTTAGTGAATTAAGTGAATTTAGTGAATATCTATGTTTTTAGTTCTTTAGTTCTGAGTTCTTTAGGTTTCAGGTTTAGGTCTTGTATGTTAATCCTAAATAATTTATGGCTTTGGTTTCTGCTATAAATGACTTTTATATATAATAAAATTTTCTAATTGGTTGCTGCTATCAAGTAAAAATACAGTTGACTCAGAAAACTAACCTTGCAAAGAAGCAACAACCACTGAATAAATGGGCAAATGAACTGAACAGGCTATTCTCAAAAGATATACAAATGGCCAATAAATACATGAAGAAATTCTCAACATCCTTGGCCTTAAAGGAAGTGCAAATCAAAATGACATTGAGATTTCACCTCACTCCCGTCCAAACGGCTACCATGAGTAATACCCAATAACAAATGCTGGTGAGGATGTGGGGGAAAAGGAAGACTTCTACACTGTTCATAGAGATATAAATTAGTACGACTGCTTTGAAAGACAGTATGGAGGTTCCTCAAAAAAACTAAAAATAGAACTACCGAATGATCCAGCCATACCACTCCTGGGCATATACCCGAAGGAATATGTGTCAAGATATGATTAGAGCTATTTGCACACCCATGTTTATTACAGCACTATTCTCAAGAGCCAAGCTTTGGAAACAGCCCAGATGTTCCACAACTGATGAATGAATTAAGAAAATACGGTATATGGGGCTGGCAGAATGGCTGAAGTGGTAGAGTGCCTGCCTAGGAAGTATGAAGCCCTGAGTTCAAACCCCAGTACCACCCTCCCACCCCTATAATTTTAAAAATACAATTTGAGTGTGTTAATAATTACCCTTATGTCCTCTGGCATTGCTAATTCCCTTATTTCTGGTTGTTTTGTATATTCCTTAGGATTTTCAGTGTAAACATCTACAGATAGAGACAGCTTTATGTCTGCCTGAACTTTATGCTCCTTACATTTTTCTTAGTGCAATTTTTTGTTTGCTTATTTCTTTTGTTTTTTTTTTTTGGAGATAGGATCTCACAGTGTAGCCCATGCTGACCTTGAGCTCAAGATCCTACTGCCTCAGCCCTCTAGGATTATAGGTGTACAGTGTTCTAAGAGAAGACATTCAGTATTTCACTACTAAGCATGGTGTTAGCTGTTGGGTTTTTGTAGATGTCCTGTATGACTCTGAGGAAGCAGCCCTTCGATTCCCAATTTGCTGAAAAATTTCTTAATCATGAATTGATGCTGAATTTTACCAAAATCTGATTAATCTGTTGACATGATTTCATAGTTTGTCTCATTCTATTAATACAGTGAAGCACATTGATTTGTTTTGAAAATTTACTTGATCATAGTGTATGTAACTTTGTCCTATAGTTTACTAAGGATTTTTACATGTGTGTTTATCAGGGATTTTTGTTTTTGTTTGTTTTGGTAATGTCTTTGTCAGGTCTTAGTGTCATGGTTATGCTGGCCTCCAAAACCAAATTGGAAAAGTTTCCCTCCTCTTTTCTTTTCTTTTTTTTTTTTTGAAAGTGTTTTTCTGAGATTGATGCTATTCTTTAATATTTAGTAGAAAAATTGTGTAGACCTGAATGTTCATTTTCTGTCTTCCTCCCTCCTTCTCTCTTTCTCGTGCTCTCAACAACATCATTCTTATATAACCATGTGTGTGTTTTCTCACATACCACGTGAGGAGTCAGTGCTGCAGTCAACACCAGCTGGGTGTCCTGCAGTAGGATTTGGTTCTGGTCTCACAGGTGGAGGGCTCGGTCCCTAACAGTGCCAATCCCAAGCCCTAGTTTGTTTTCCCTGTGCTTCTGACCACCTGACTATAAGTCAAGATTTCTGCAGCCCCTGCACTTACATTTACCAGCTCCCTACAAAGGATATATGTTTTTTTGGGGGGGAATGGTGCTATGATTTGAATTCAAGTCCTCATGCTTGCCAGGCAGGCACTCTACCACTTGAGCCTCTCCATCAGCCCTGGTCCCAGTTTTTATGGAGGCTTCATCCCATCAGCATGAATGACTGGTTAAATCATTGACCATTGGCAGTGACCTCAGTACTGTGCACTTTCTCTCCGTGGTTCCAGTCTCTGAAAGCCTCGGCTGACTCCCCCTGGCAACCAGCCTCCCATCCGGTAGTCACCTACTTCACATGAGTTTCAGTGTGTGAGAAAGGGCTTGTAAATCACAGGGCTGTAGGAGTTGCTTCAGGAATGAAGACATAAGGCAAACACTTGAAGAAAGGATAACTCTGCTGTAGTCGTGGAGGGAATGGCAAGGGCCCAGAGAATTGCACCCAGGAGGCAAGTGTTCTCCCGCTGGGGGCTGGGGGCTCACATGGTGGTGCACCTACCTCCCAAGCTTGAGGAGAAAACAATCAGTTCTCTCCATTGGGCCGCATCCCCAGCCCTCAATTTTTTATTTTTCGTGGTACTGAGACCCTATACCTTGAGCCACTCCACCAGCCTTCTTTTGAAAAGGGGTTTTTTCAAGATAGGGTCTCACAAACTATTTGCTTGGGCTGGCTTCGAACCTTAATCCTGCTGATCTTTGCCTCCTGAGTAGCTAGGATTATAGGCGTGAGCCACCAGTGCCCGGCAGAGCCCTCAATTTTGTTTTTTTTTTTTTTTTCAAAATGTTTTCAGAGAACTAATTTGATGTTAAGTTTCTCTGTTGGTTGTTTCTGTTTTGTTAAATTTTGTTCTTTGTCAGTCAATTTAAAAAGACTTTATTTGCAGCCTTAGGAACTGCAATTCAAGAAACAGATTCAGATAGTTCTTTCTAAATCAGCTCTAATCCCCTGAATACAGGGAGGGTGGGAGTAATAATAAGCATTGACTTACTACAGGCAGAAACATTCTTTTGTGGGGACACTTTGGAGTTGAGAATAGGTGCAGAGGCCATGTGACTGACAGGGAATTGTATATACTTAGAATTTGAAACACAGACTTCAATAACCTCTTGATATGTATCCTGAGCCTCAGAGCATAATGTCAGCTGTTCCAGATGCCAGAAGTCCACGGTTCATTCTACTCAGTGCCTGCAGTGCTGCCTAAGCTCAGTTATCTAAAGGCCTCCTGGCTTTGTTTGGAAAAGCTCTTTCAATATTTTCATGTTATTATGTCCTTTCTTCCATTTCTTTTGGATTTGTTGTTATAGCTCAGGCTGGCCTAGAACTCTCCATCCTCCCCTCTCAGCCTTCCAAGTGCTAGGATTATAGGTATGCACCACTGTGCCTGTAATAGCCAATTCTGGCTGTTTTCTAGCTCATATGGTCAAATCTTAGGTCTTAGTTAATATGTTGTATTAGAGTTCTCCAGAGAAAAAGAAACTATATCTGTTTAAAAGGACACTTGTGTAGCTCACTGGTAGAATGCTTGTCTAGCATGTGCAAGGCTCTGGATTCATCCTCTAGCACTACAAAAGAAACTCTTTTTTCTAATTTCCTGCATAATTTCTTCTTTGAGCTATATGTTGTTTGGAAGTATGTAATTTAATACCAATTATTTGAGGTTTTCCTAAATATGTTACTTTTGGGTGTCTAGGTTAATTCCATTAAGAGCAGGGAATGTACTGTGTATGCTTTTAATCCACTAAAGTTTATTGAAATCTGTTTTAAGACCCAACATGGAATGTCCTGGTGAATGGACAGAATGCACTGAAAAAGAATGTCTGCTCTGAAGATGTTGGGTACTGTATACATATCAGTTAGGTCTTGTGGCTGATAGTGTTGTCAGATTGTCATTATTTTCCTGCTTTCTTAAAATCTCTTGTGTTGATTTCAGATAGGGTATTAAAATAATAATTGTCTTGCATTTTATCCATTCTGACCATTGGCGTTTTCAGTCCACTAACCTTGAACTTAGTATGTTTAGATTTACTAATTGATTTTGTCTGTTCCCTGTGTTCTGGGGGTGTGTATTGCTGAGGATTGAACCCAGGCCTCTCACTATACCCTCATTTCTTCTTCTATGCTGTTTTATCTTTTTTTTCCAGACAAGCTTTTGCTATGAAACTGGCCCTCAACTCATGTCTTCCTGCTTTAACCTCCCAGGTGCTGGGATTATAGGTGTGACCCACTATACCTGGCAGGTTTTTTTTTTTTTTTTGTGATACTGGGGTTTGAATTCAGGGCCTCATGCTTACTAGGCAGGTACTTTACCACTTGAGCCATTCCTACAGCCCTGTTTCGTGTTGCATATTTTTGAGATAGGATCTAGTGAACTATTTCCCCAGGCTGGCTTCTCACTGCAATCCTTCTGATCTTTGTCTCCTGAAAAATGGCACTCATTTGTTGCTGTTGTTTGGTTTGCAGTTTTGGGGATTGAACCTGGGTTTTTTTGTGCATGCTAGGCAAGTTGTCTACATACAGCCTCAGTCTCTTTTTGCATTTTTTTATGTAGAGGTTGCTCTAGGGATTACAATATGCATCTTTAATTTTCCCACCATACTGAGGGAGCAGCATTGCAGCACTTCACACAGTGTAGAAACCTGGCTCCTAAATGGATTGCTCCCTACACTCCTTTTAAGGGTTGGGGTTTCTCTGCACACATATAATCCCATGTTTTGATTCTTTGCTTTGAACACTCATAGGGAGTGAAATCCATCAGCTGCAGGCTTGGAATTTTATCCAAGCCTGAGATTACTTGTTGATAATCTCCTCAATCTTCTCTTACAGATTAACCTAACATGGCTGACCAGCGGCAGCGCTCACTCTCTACCTCTGGGGAATCACTATACCACGTTCTCGGGCTGGACAAGAATGCAACCTCAGATGACATAAAGAAATCCTATCGGTAAGAGGCCGTGCGTGGGCCAGTGTCCCCCCCAGAAGAACACAGGCCCTCATGTAGTTTTAATTTACATTTTACCAAAAATCATTGCATTTAGCATGTAACTGGTTAACAGTTCTGTTGCATCTTTGTATGTGTGGTGATCCTTCTAGCTTAAAAATGTTTATTGACGTTCTCTTAGCAACAACAACAAAAAAAACCACTTCGTAGATGTTAACAGCTGTGCACAGTCAGAAAAGGGCTGGGGTCTGCCCCTGATGAGACCCTCAGGCACAGTCAGTGCTGTAGAACTTTGCAGTGCTAAAGGGTGTGCTTGCTTTAGTACAGTGGTGAGGTGTCTTCTCTGTCCTGTTCTTCTGATTTCAATAACTTATCTCTAGGGTTGGAGGTGTGGCTCAAATGGTAAAGAACCTGAGTTCAAACCCCAGTACTGCTTAAAAAAAAAAAAAAAAAAAGCCCCAAACTTACTTACAATGTCATGCTGTAACCTAGAAGAGAGGGGGGCATTGTCACCAATTAAGGTGCCTCCAGTAGTCCTCTTGTGTTCTTGCACTACACTGCCATTATTTAACCCCTCTGTGCCTTATTCTCTTGTTAAGCAAATATGCAGTTAGCTAGCTAAGACACTAGAGGTCAGAAGTAAGACTTCCCTTTGAAAGTTTGCGGGAGTGAGTGCTGTGGGTTGAACCCAGCCCTTACTAAGTCAGGGCTCCCTTCCCATGCATGGATGGATTGGGGGAGGTTTGCCCTGAAGCCATGGCAGAGATTTATTTTGACCCTGACATTACAGACCTCTGTAAAGTTGGAGATTGAGTTGATAATGGATAAAAATTTCTTCTCCTGGGCACACTGATGGATGAGCATGAAATGCAAGACCAAGAGAGAGCCAGGAAATGGTTTTGGTTTGCAGGAAGCTTGCTCTGAAATATCACCCTGACAAGAACCCCGATAACCCAGAGGCTGCAGACAAGTTTAAGGAGATCAACAACGCCCACGCCATCCTGACAGATGCCACAAAAAGAAACATCTATGACAAGTATGGTTCGCTGGGGCTCTATGTGGCTGAGCAGTTTGGGGAAGAGAATGTCAACACCTACTTCGTGCTCTCCAGCTGGTGGGCCAAGGTGAGGAGGGGGAGCAGGCATCAAGTTGCATGACTCTGAAAGCACTGTGCCTGGTAGAATTGCATATATTGAAGCATCTGTGCATTCGATTCAGGTGCTCCACACTGGAGATATGGTTTCTTGCTTGTGCCCGTCCTTATCCCATGTACTGTGCAGTTGATATGCCAGCCTGTCCATGGCAGGTACACTGCACAGCATGCATGGAGCAGGGTCACACAGAACCATTTGCATCAACATGACTTTCTCTGATGTGTGGCACTTAAGTACTTAAAAGGATTGAGGTAGGAAATAAGCCTTTCATCATAATGTGGACAGGTTTTCTATTATCAAGGAAGATTTCTTGAAATCTAACTTCAGATTTATTTTTTTATTAACCTTACACTTTCCTTGTCTACATATAAGACCAAAGAGTAAAAATTATCCCCTTGGCTGTTAGCTGTAGGAAGCTGATTTTTGGTTTTTACTGGTCAGCACTCAGTTCCATCTTTATAAATGTCTTCTCTTTAAGCAGCTGATCTCGTTCTGTCTCTCCTGCCTTCCCCTTTCAAGTTCTTTATATGTCCTCATCTGGAAAGCATGCCCTTAGCCTGAGGCACATCTTCTGCAGCTCTTCTCCCTAGGGAGATCCCATGTACTATGGCCTGCAGTGGGCCTTGAGACCACGCAGTGCCAGAATTCTCTCCCCCAGGCCCTGTTCGTCTTCTGCGGCCTCCTCACCTGCTGCTACTGCTGCTGCTGCCTGTGCTGTTGCTTCAACTGCTGCTGTGGGAAGTGCAAACCTAAGGCACCCGAGGGCGAGGAGACTGAGTTCTACGTGTCCCCTGAGGACCTGGAGGCACAGCTGCAGTCTGATGAGAGGGGTGAGTGCCCGCCCCACGACCATGCGTGTGCGTGGGGTGGAGCCAGCATGGGCCCTGAACAGTGTCAACTGTCTTGTCAAACAGGAGGGCACTGACACTGTGCCGCGAGTGTTTGTGGTGGCAGCTGGGACTGTTGAGGTGTGAACGTGGACACTTGAGGTAAAGCAGGCACAGAGAGCTGTCCCCACCCATGAACTGTGGTAGCCATAGATCCAGGGGACCAAGAGCGGGGAGGGTGGCAGGCAGGTGGGGAGGGTTGAGGGCTGGTGTGACCTGAGGCCACAGAAGAAAGTGTGTTGGGTGGAGTTCAGCGAGTAGCCTCTCCCCCTGAGTATCTATCCAGGTGCCTGAGTGTTGTGACGTGAGGACCGTGTCGATGGGTGCACGGCCCTGCTGCTGCCCTCATACGATGAGGTTGCCTGCTTGCTTTTCAGAGGCCACAGACACACCGATTGTCATACAGCCAGCGTCTGCCACAGAGACCACTCAGCTCACGGCTGACTCCCATCCCAGCTACCATACCGACGGGTTCAACTAAGTCCAGGAGAGGCTGTGATTAGAGGATGAATCAGCACCGGCCACTGCAACCTTAGAATCATGAACTATAGTCACCAAGATGGGGAGGTAGTCACTGGCCTGCTACGGCCGTGCAGGCCCCTCCCACCTCCTCTACACCTGCCCATCCGTCAATTCTTGATACATGAAGTGCGTAGCATGCAGTATTTAAAGCAGTGTAGCTACGGTCTTCTTCTTCTGTTTTTTTCCTTTTTTAATAGCATGTATGGGTTATGTTCAATGTCTGTGTTGTGGACGTGCAGCGGCCTGGCCGCATTAACTGAACTGCCTCAGGCTTTCAGTCACGTGGGTCCAGTGATGTTCATCTGCAACTACCAGGTTCCACCCAGCCAGGTGGGCTAGGGAAGGAGGGGGCCTCCCCTTGCCTCCCTGTGCTTGCAGACACTGGAAGGAGGTGCTACCTGGCAAAGTTGTATCTCCATGTTGGCCTCGGTATCCTGAGATGGAGTCTGGTCTGGTCCGTGATTGGTGGCCTGGTCTCAAGGCTGCATGCAGGGTTCTGGAAGGAGCAGGTCCGCATCCTGTCAGGCACTGTTTGCGAGATGTTTATATTGGGCAGTTTGCACAGTGCCATGCTTACTTGGCCTCGTGGCATAGTTTTCCTGTGGTAGATCTGCTATATAGAGCATGGTCATGCCCCTCTGAGAGTACGAGCCTGCTCTCTGCACAGTGTGTCCAGCCTGGGTCTCCTTACCTCAGGGACAGATCCTGCCTGTCCCTCGCTGATGTGTTGGAGGTTGTCTGTCTCTGTTCCTGCACCTTCCAGGCCAAGAGCTGGATTGACAAGGCGACAGTCTCCCTTTTACCCCGAGTCATCCACATTCCGTCAAACACAACTTTTCTTTCTTTTTTTTTTTTTAAATCCTTTTTGGACTTTTAAGAACCACAAATGGTAGCACCTGCCTTGTCATAGTCAGAGGGTCTGTGAGTTCAACTGTGAGTGGCATATGGCTGTTTAAGTCCAGGAAAAACTTTGAGTGAGCACCCAACCCCGGAATCTTCCCCACTGTGCTTGCCAGAGCTCTGTTTAACCCACTTGCCTTCACCTCCTACCTGTCATGGATGCCTCAGGCAAAGCTGAACTTTGGGTTCCTGGAACATCATGGCTGAGCCCAAGGTGCCCCTGGCTTAGGAGGATTGGATCCCAGGGAAGCTAGTGATGTCACAGCTAGCCAGCCCAGGAGGCCAGTGGCTGGACTACAAAATCCTTTTGTTATCCTCTCTCTGGTCTGGGTGGGTGGTACCCTGAGTGAGGGAGCTGAGGAAACGGGGCTACCATGTGCCTGTGCTGGCCAGGGGTTTGTAACCACCCCACACCCCCAGCTATGTGCTGGATTTGGTACACCAAACTATAGTGGGCCAAGTTCATGCAGAACCTTCCTGATGGCTGTTGCTGACCATCGTCTGCATTTCCGTAGAGATGAAGAAGCTCCATGGCCCAGGTGAACCACCATGTGTTCCTGAAGCCCAGCCCCCACATCCCTCCCTTGTCTGTTGTCTGTCTTCCTTCCCCTCCATCCCCTGACACAGCTCAGAAGGACCTGCAGGGGGCAGGTCAGGCTGACAGAAAGTCACGAGAAGGGGCAGCAATGTGCGGACAAATCTGGTTGAGGGTGCCTGGGCAAGTCTGGTGAGACCACTGATACTGGGGCCTGTACCTGACCTTACTACAGATGTGTATGGGTCAAAAGCTGACTGCCAGATCCTTAGTGGGTTTGTCTGTTTTGCTCTTTAAAGGATCATGAAGACATTGAGTGAGGACATGCATAAAGAGGTTAGAAATAATTTGTTAGCATCTGGCTGGTGAGGTGTCACATAAGAAATTCATTGTTCTGGGAAAGGAGGCACCCAGACACCTGAGCGGTCTGGTGTGCGCATCCCAGCACAGGAGCAACAAGGCAAGAGGCTGACCAGTCATCATGGTGGCCTTTCCCCCACAATGGCCAGGATCTGTGTGGACTATGGGTAGAGTGCTGCAGTCTGGTGACGTGGCCTGTGTCTGGAGGCAGCCCTCCTGGCATGCAGCTCTGTGGCCCTTTCCCTCGTGTTCCTAACAGTGGCTGGGGTAAAGAGAGCAGCAGTCGAACCCAGTGTCCTGTGGAATGTGTAAGACAATAAATCATGTACAATTTGAAAAACTTGGTAAATGGGATAGTTCTCAAGGTGACAGTAGTGATTGCCCAAGGCACCCAGCTAGTAATGACTCCAGATGTCAGTACCCAGAGCCTTCTTCCTTCCTGACCCTCAGGAAGATCCCCATGCAGGGTTTTACTATGTTGGTATAAGGTGTCCCTGATTTGTTTCCCATCATACAGAGACCTGGTGAGTCTTGGGGTCAGCTTGAATCGTTTCCTAACCAAGTGCTGGCCAATCTGGATGACCCTCACGTGTCCCTAGGTGCCTGTGCTGATAACCACAGCATGAATGCCTTCCAGGATGCGCATGTTGCCAGGGGACTGCTGGGGTCTGCCGTGGAGGCCTGTCCAGTGCAGCAGGTGCCCTTGGATGCAGGCAGCTCTGACCTGCAGAGAGCATGTGGGACAGACCTATAAGGTCATCACTGCAGTTGCTGGCATATGGATTTCTGTTGCGCTTAGTGATGTGGTCTTTCCTGTCTTCCTTTTGTCATTGCTCTATTTTAAAACTGCTTTAGATATTACTGCTCAGTGTTTAGTGCAGCCAAAATCCAACGGGGACCTGTTTTGGAAAAAGAAACCAGAGTGCTCACTGTGTTGTGTTAGTGGGAAGCTTCTTTGCCATGTGTTGGCTGCTGAACTTGGCCCTGAGTCATAAAGTGATCGAGATTCTTCTCAGATGTTCTAACCCCAGGTTTAACCCATAGCGGTGTCCATTGTCCGCTGATTATTCTTCTAGGTAAGCCTTGTGCCAGAGGAGCTACCATCAGTGCAGCTGATTGGTCTGGGGAGATGGTGGCCTGGCATGCAAGCTGTCCCTGGAGGATCCAGGTGCTATATGGGCAGAGCTGGGTGGGTTCTGCCTATCGTCCTCTGGTCCTCAGTGCACCCTGCCATGGGGGGACAGCCTGTGCGTGGTGTAAACAAGTGACTGATCTCATTCCTTTCTCAGTGTTCTGAGCTGTGAACCCATGTGGCCCAGGATTGACCTGTTTTTGTTACTTGGTTTTGAACCACCTTCCTGTGGAATTGGCAAAAGCTGCATCTTTATTGTCCTCACAAGCACGGTGTGTGTCACCACATGCTGTGTGGGTCGTGGTGTATGTCTGTGTGTACATATGTGTATATGTATATATCACGCAGCAGGCCTGTCATGCTGCTGTCCAGTGGCAAATCAACAAGTACAATAAAAGTTGGCCCTAAAACAGCCTGTGGTTTCTTGGTGAGTTGGGTAGGGGCAGGGTCTCCAGGTTCTCCTGGCAAAACACAGTAGATCAGAGCCTGTTGTGTGCATAGGGTATGTGCACCTGAATGCACTGCCAAGGCCCCCACCAGCATCAGGCTTCAGCAGGGCTGGGTGCAAGGGTGACTATCTCAAACACATGTGAATCCCCAGGGGCCTCTGCCATGCTCACCTGACCCTCAGGTATATGAAATCCAGGAGATGACTAGAAACCCTCCCTCCCTTAAAATCAGTTTTCTAAGCACCAGATACAATCAGTGACAAGGCTGCCTTTTAAGGGCAGCCAGTCCACTCAGGAAAGGCAGGACTACAGGGAACTCCCTCTAGGAAGGGGCTGAACCAAGAGCCCCTTGGGCAGCATGTTTGGTGGTTTTGGAGCAGTGAGTGTGTCATGCTCAGTAAGGAGAGGAAGTTTACACTGAGGTATATAGATGCTATTTTTAAAGATTAAATGCAAGTACATGGAAAGTACTTGTCTGTGTGCTGATTTTACCCCTCTACTGGGGTTTGACTACATTGGGATGCAGGCTGCTGTCAGAGCCATGGCTGACCCTGACTCGTGTGCACCTCCAAAGGCCAGGCTGGAGGGCTGTGATGATTTCGCATGGTGACCTCCATCTCATATGTCTGACTGTTGACCTAAAATAAAGATAGCTGTTGTAAAATAAATGTTTTCACTGCAGACCAGGTGTGTGTCTTATTTAACAATCCCTGCAGAATCCTATTTTGATGAGTCACTGTGGTGACACCTGACCTCCATCCTGGATCTTCTGGGAGCCTTCACTTCCTTCTTGCCTAGACCAAATATAAACAAACACTCCTTCCTCTGGTTCTCTTTTCACCTACATTTTCTAAATACCAAGAGTAGAATGAACCTGCTAGCTAATGAAGTCCATAAGGCAAGGGTAACTCAGATAGGAGAGCCCTTGTGGGGTATGTCTGGCCCCAAAGGGTGGATCCTTGCCTCACAGCCCTGGCTGCCTACCTAGAGCAGGTCATACCCATGCGAGGGGAAGCTCTGTGATCTCCATAAACCTGCCACACCAGCAGCTGACAGCCCTTGGTCTAACTGTCCTCCCATCTACATGGCTGACCATCACCTCCTACCTGCCTCAGCTTCGTGAAACTTCCCTTATTCCCTCCACACACCCTCACTCACCTGCCTTGGCTGGCTCCCCAGGATGAACAGGTAAGTGGTCTGAAACACTTTGTAAGGACCGTCATGAATCTGCCTGACTTGATGTGTCCCTCATTCTGAACCTGAGCCCTTGTCCCTCAACAGGCCTCTGACCCAAGCTAGTAGCATCAGGTCACAGGGAGAGCCAGGGATGTGGCACAAGTGGTGGAGCGCCTGCCTGGCAAGGGGAAGGTTCTGAGTTGACACCCCAGTACTGTCAAAAAATAAATGAGATCACAGGAAGGGCATTGGGCATGGAGGCTGCCCAGCTCTGATGCAGGGCCAGCTCTTCCTGTTCCTTGGGGCAGTGGTCACTGTAGCTGACCTGGCAGTTTCCATCTCTGTCTTCCTCTGTTCTGACCATTCAGATTTCCTAGGGCTGTCCTGCCTTCCTCACCTAGAGCACCTGGACATGTGCCTGCAGCAGCTTTTCTGCCCCAACTGCCTGGAGCAGCTATGAGCTGGTGGTGACCCAAGTTGGTGGTGGACCCAGTCTTACCTCACATCTCTGGATAGGACCTGCCTTCTGCCTTCTCCCGCCTGGCCCTCCAGATGTTACAGTCCCTGGGACTGTTGTGAGGTAAGCTTTACCCCGCTTCCTTGATAGTAGGGAGAGGAGCAGGGGGCCCTAGCCACAGGTGTGAGCATAGCCTGAGACAGCTACCTTGGGCTAGCCGCCTTTGTACCTCTACACCTCTACTTCTGGGATAGGTATCCAGTCCAAGCTTCTGCAAGTGGCCGCCATGGCTGCCATCATTCTGCATACATTGGAGCACGGGGAACATGGGGAGGGGAGCATAGTCAAGACTGTTCAGGTGAGAGAAGCACCCTGACCCAGAAGTCCTCAGGTCTGATTGCCTGGTAGGAGTGCAGGGCCATCCCTGTGGTTCATGTCCCTCCTGTCAAGTGCAACCTCAACCAGACCCCTCTTGCCTACCTGTATTCTTATGTGCTCTTAATCTTAGAAGAAAGCAAAGCACAAAGCTCTCAATAGAAAAGCAATTTAGCCAAAGCTTATTTTTTTAAAAGTGTTTTGGAGAAAAAGCTAAAACTCCATTCAAACCTAAATGAAGTAACTTAATCCAGATTTTTCATAACAGAAAGAAACAACAGTGCTGAAGTCCAGTCTGTGCCTCTCTCCTCAACGTTGTGGCCATTAGCATGTCCCATTCTGTACAGTGTCAGGTGCCACAGACAATACATACCCTTAGCTTACGAATTTTTACATTAGATGTGCGACTCTAAGTCACCTGCATCATGAATTTTTCATCCAACATAGTTGTCTTTTTAAAAATTGCACATGTGGCTATACCTAGGTCTGATTCTTCCATTTTAGCTGTGATATAGATCCCTCATACAAACTGGTAATAGCTGGTCCCTGCTCTTAAGAATTTGCCACATAGGGTTTTACTTTTTTTTTTTGGTGGTACTGGGGTTTGAACTCAGGGCCTCATGCTTGCTAGGCAAGTGCTCTACCACTTGAGCCACTCCACCAGTCCCAATGATTTTGCTTTTTAATTGCTGACACAAAGCTGTCTGACTGTTGGCTACTGAGCTGTCTCTGGGGGTGGGGTTGCTGGGAATGGGATCTGGAGGCCTTCCTTTCACCTGGACACACGTGTCTCCTGCTACTACTGCCCGGAGCAGCTCTCAGCTAGTCGGGACCCAGCCTTGCCCCCACAACAGCTCTGGGTAGGACCCACTTGAATGGTTTCCCTGCCTTCCTGCTATCAGATTTGACCTTCTGAATTTATTTAATTTATTTATTTTGCAGTACTAGGGTTTGAATTTAGGTCCAACACCTTGAGCCACTCCACCAGGCCTTTTCTGTGAAGGGTTTGAGATAGGGTTAGGATTAGGGTTGTCTTGCAAACTATTTGCCCAGGCTGGTTTTGAACCTTATCCTCCTGGTCCCTGCCTCCTGAGTAGCTGGGATTACAGGCGTGAGCCACTGGCATCCAGCTGAATTTAGCAGCAGCAGCTTCCTTGCTGGGGGTTAACTAAGGGCCTTTTTGCATTGATTATTTTTTGTTGTTGTTGTTCAAATTAATAGTTTTTTATTTACATTTAGCAAAGGAGTCCAAAACAGACTGATGGCTATGGGTATAGTTTAAATGTAACGAAGAGTTAAACTATGTACATTGAGGTAAGGAAAAGGCTTTTTTTTTTTTTTATATCAACCTTTTCCTAATTTGCAATTTCTGATTTGTAGAACTAAACACATCTTTTTGCCCAACTTAATTTAGGATGAACTAATGCAATTTTTATGGTCAACCACATAAGTTATCTTTAAGGATTAAGTGTAAAAAAATTTTTTTGATGGGTGTCACCTTATTTATTGGTCAACTCGCTACATGGTTACCTTGGCTCCTGAAGTCCGGGTATGTTAGAACTCAAGAGCATTTCCAGGAAACCCAAAGGGACAAACTGGCTATTTTTGAGATAGGATCTCACCTTATTCCGGGGTTGACCTGCTTAACTGGGTGACAGGCCCATGCCACCACCTAGCTACTGGTTGAGATGGGGTCTCCCTAACTTTTTGCCTGGCTGGCCTCCAACCTAGATTCTCCCAATCTCTGCCTCCCAAGTAGCTAGGATTACAGATGTGAGCCACCACACCCGGCTTCTTAATTAGGCAGGATCCACATTTATTATTTTCCGTATTTTACCTGTGGGTGTTTTCAAGAGAAAGAAGTAACAGCAGGCCTGAATAGTGGGCGCTCAGAGTGGTGGTGGGGGGGTCACTGCGTGTCACAGCCCCCGCCCTACCTGGTATCTGGGAGCCTCGGCTCCCCACCACAGGAGGAACGCTAGGAGACAGCGTGGGTGTCTGCAAGGGGATCTGTTGTAGCTCAGTCCCTGAGGTGCTGGCCTCGGTGGCCAGCGCGCAGACCCGCCTCCTCCTGCTCACAGCTGGGCACCAGATCCAGCGCGCGGGACCCGGGGTGCGGCGTCCATGCGGGCACTTGCTGTTGCTCAGTTGACCACAGGGCAAACCCCTGGGGGGTCCGCAAGGAAGATGGACAGGGAGAGAAGTCCGGCAGGGCCTGGGAGGATCCGGGAGGCCGGGCTCGAGGGGTGAGGGTGGCAGGGTCCCTGCAGGTGCGGGCAGGAGCGCAGGGCGGGCCGCGGGAACAGTCCGCTCCTGCTGCCCCATGCGTGGGCATCCCTACCCGCCCTCTGCTCAGGCTCTGCTGGGTTGGAACTTGGGGCACTTGGAGTCCAATACCAGCCCCGCCCTCGAGACCAGGCAGGTCTCTGCTTCTAGCTGGAAGCCAGTGGGTGGGGACCCAGTGCCCGGTGCAAGTCACCACCAAAGTCACTATTGTTCCCAACCCTGCTCCTCCTTGGACCCCATCTTGGGGCAGCCCACATGCGAACTACCCCATTCTAGTCCTTCTAACTCAAGCACAGCATCCCCTTCTCTAAACTTCCTTCCCTGTCCCCAGTCCCTGAAGTTGACCCTGGGGAGCCTCAAAATCCCCCATCTTACTCTGGCTGCTGTCCATTTCTCACCTGGTGGGGGAAGCTGTCCAACCCTTCAGGGTATTGGCATCATCCAAAATGCCCTTTTCCCAGAACTCATCCTGGACAAGGGGCCCAGGAGTCCGGGAATCTTTGCCAGTGCTTCCTGACTCCAGGTAGCCCAGAGCAGACACGGTTCTCTAGCTCACCCCAGACCTCCATACCTACAGCATGCATGACCCTCCATGCATGTGGCAGCACATGTGCCTTTTGCTGAAACTGTGGCATCCCAAGGCTCCTGGCACCCCCAGACTTCCCATCCTGTCAAGCCAAGGCATTCATCATCACCCTGTGACAAGCCATGCTGGGGAGGAGGCAGCACCTCACGGGCTGACAAACCTGAGATTGACCCTGCAGATACCATTCTCAGGTTGGACAGTCCTGGAGGCACCACCCAGGGGCAGCTGGCAGAGCCAGGGCAGGTGGGCTTCATAGGAACTTCTGGATGAGTGGGAGGAGGGGCTCCAGGTCTGTATCCAGCCTGCTCCACCCCTTGCCAAGCTTTGAGGCCATCTTTTACCTGGCCCTATGTTGGCTTCTCTCGGCTTCCCTTACACCAGCGTGCGTGACACTCACCCCTCTGCCTGCACTGAACTGAAAGGAACCCAGGTGCCTGGAGGGCAGGCAGCACAAAGGCTGTCTGGCTCCCAGCCCCAAATCAGACTCTCATAGAACTCCCTGGAGAGCTCAGCCTCAGGCCCCATCGTCACTCTGGACTAGAAGTGCCAAGCACCTGCAGCAGCTGTGCTGAGCTTGTTTTCATGAATGGCTTGGAGCTTGGAGTTGGTTCCAGGAAAGGCCAGGGATCCCTGGAGGATCCCAGGAGCCAGAGGGAAAACCTTCCTGCAAGAGTACCACCTCCAGCAATCATGGGACCCTGGCTGGAATGGGCTCAAGACCTCCCCTAATCCATGGCTTGGCCTTAGCACACCCGAGGCTGTCCCCAAATGAGACTGCCCAGAAGCACTGGGGTCTTCTTATGGATGGGGATACTGAGGTAGGACCCTCAAGGCTCTTTGCCTCAGTTTCTTCCCTGTGCCCCCACTGACCCTCAGGAAGAGGGAGAAAATCACCGTTGCATAGTGGCTGGTGCTAACTGGCATGGGAATAACTGGGCCCCTTCCTTCCGACCTTGACCTTCATTGTGAACACGATGTGCGTGCACGTAGGTGGTGGTGGCACGCACCCGTGTGTGTGTGTGTGTGTGTGTGTGTGTGTGTGTGTGTGTGTGTGTGTGTGTGTGTGTTTGAATTATTCTCTCTCTGGGAGTCAATCACCTAGCTAGACTGGGGGACCCTCCCAGTACCTAGCCCCTGCCCCACTTCTAATAACTTTCCCCCAGTCCTCATAGGGAAGCCCTCTGGCTGGAAGAAATGGCATCTCCAGACTCAGAGCCTAGGTTCTCAGCATAATGTGAAGATCAATGAGCCAGTAGAGGTGGGGTCCTGGAGATGTGGAAGAGGGTCCACTCACCAGGGTACGGAAAAGGCCCTGCTTCAGTCCTCTGTCCCCAGTGCCTGCTGCCACTCGGACATTTCAACCGCCTTCATCTGCCCGCCACTGTGGGCTTGGCCTCCACCTAGTAACTTCCTGTCCCCGCCCCATGACAAGCTTTTCCATGACAAGGCCTTCATAAGGTGGGGGACCAAGCAGACCAGAGAGAGGCAGGAAAGAGGCGTGGGCCACCTGGTCAGTTTGGGGGTTGCCTATTTGCCACAGCTCAGAGACCACAGTACACATGTGCACTAGGGAGTCCATGTGTTTATGTCACCTTACCCAGGCAGGACCAGCATGAGGGACCAGAGAAGCCTGCCCCCATTTCTAGAGTCCAGATGCAGCAAAAGCAGGGCTGGATATGGGAATCTGGCCCTGAAACACAAGGGCTGATCCACTGAGGACCTGGCTATCTCCTTGCAGCTGGGTCTCCTTCTACTGCTCAGTCCTTCCCACAACCACCCACACAACTGGTTTCCGCTGGGTCCCTTCATGGTATAACCGTGGTGGGAGGGAAGTGGTCACAGAGGCTGCTTGTTGTGACAAAGCCCTAGGTGACCCTGTCCCTCCCTATGTGCGGGTCAGGTGGCTACCAAACTGATAGCTCTAGGGACTCAATCTAGCAAAGCCAGGAGCTGCGTGCTACTGTCTTGCTCTCATTTCCATCTAGCAATAAGCCCCAACTATAAGGAAGCCAAATGCAAACCTGGGAACGCCTAGTCCTGCTGAGTAGAAGTCAGGGTCCCTCTGCCCTCATTCTCTGTGATGGCCTTACAGCTTGGGAACTGGGGGTAGTCCAACTCCTGAAGCCCTTGGGTAGACTGCCCAGGACACGACTTCTGAAGCCCAGCTTACCAGTCACATCTTCATTTTCATTTTATTTATTTTATAAAATGTGTAAATCAAGTTTTATTGGTAACATTTTTTGATTTTGGTGGGGCTGGAGTTTGAACTCACTCAGGACTTTGTGCTTGCAAAGCAGGCGCTTTATGGCTTGAGCCACACCTCCAGTCCATTTTGGTGGATTGGAAATACTGAGGCAGAGCCCTCAGATTCAGGCAGAGGAAATGGGGGTGGGGTGGGGGTAGGTGCCTCAGGAACTATTTGCTGGACTGGCCTCTAGCCTCCATTCTCCCTATCTCAGCCTCTCAAGTAACTAGGGTTACAGGCATGAGCCACCAGTGCCCAGCCAGTGTTTAAATTAAAATAAGTTACCATCTATCTGCTCTGCAACCCCAGGCAAGGAGGCAGGAGATTAGTTGGGCACTGGCGTGGCCTCAGCCTGGGCACTAACCAGTGGAAAGCCACTTCTTCTTCATCACTGCCATCAGGGACTGCATCCGTCCCAAAATAGCGATCACCAAAGTTCCCTGGAGAAAGAAGCAGTCCAGTTATTGAGGTTTCCTGGGGCTACTAGCCCTGCCCCATGGACCACTGACCGACCGGGCATGGAGTCCTCACCGATGCCTGGGATGATGCGGAAAAGGTCATTGACGCGCTTGTCCACAGCGGTGGTGATGATTCTCACCGCGGGAACGCATAGGCCACGGAATGCACGCCCATCTCCGCCATGAGCAGGGACAGCAAGAAGATCTTGGCCTCCGGCACATCATGGTCCTGCCCAGCATTGGGACCAGGTAAATCCTAACTCCACAGTAGCCTGTCTGCAGCTCACCCAGGGCCCACTTACCAGGAGCACTCGCACGGCCATCATGGCAGCAGCGCCTGTGGACACTGTGCAGTCCATCAGAATCACGTGGTCGTCACTGATATCCTTAGGCAGCCTCAGGTAGTGGAGCTGCGGGTAGGCACGAGGTCAGCACGCCCACCTCCCGAGGGCCCCCTCAGCCTTTCCCCCACGCTGGTCATCCCCGTGATGCCCACGCCTCCCACATCGGGCACCTCAGGCTCCCCGGTGAGCTGGTTAGTCTGGATGAGGATGGTGCCGATGCGCACATCCTTGCACACAGCACGCAGTGCGGGCTCCATTGTCTCCCCGGCTCGCAGGATGGACACACCAGTGATCTGGGGGAGGGGAGCAAACTGGACAACTTGCACCCACCAGCCGCTGTCCCACTCCCCTGGCCACACGCACCTGCTTCCCCGCGTAGCACTTGCCCGCGTAGTTCTGCCCTTGCGGGGTCTGGACGACACAGTCCTGCGCACAGGTAGTTAAGCCTCCATAAGCTCCCAGCGAGGCCCCTACCCCCGGCCCCCACCCCCTGCACGGGCACCTGGAAGGGCAGGAAGGACAGTGCGTGCTCTATGAGCAGCCTCATCAGCCTCTTAGAGTAGAAGATGAATTCGTCCCGGCTGGTCTCCTTGTCCCTGAAGGGCAGGGTAGGTTAGCAGAGAGGGCGCCCCAAGCGGTGTGTATGTGGGGGGGGCTCCCCGCCTCACAGGTGGCCCCTCACCTGATGATGGTGTGCATGCCCCGTACCTGCGGCGTGCTCTTGAGGACACTCAGCGTCCGGGGAAGGGGGTGGCACTGGTGAGCTGAGGCCAGTGCGGCCCTGGAGACATAACCGGTTGGGGACACTCACAAATTGGGCGTCTTACTGCAGAACCCCTCTCTCCCCCACAGAACGGCTGCACATCACTGTGGGGGACAGCTGGGGGCAGGCAGCAGGATGTGCAGGGTGGCTGCTGGCTGGCTGACCTGCGGGGAAGAGGCCCAAAGAGCTGCCTCCCCACCCTAACTGCCAGGCAAAGGTGAGGAAACACTGAGCAGGCAGCTGCTGGGCTTGGCCTTCTGAAGGAAGCTGGTGCCCCCTCCTAGGCTCAGAGGAAATGGAAAGGATAGACGGGGAGAAGCAGAGGGGCTCACAGTGGGGATAGGTCTTAGCCTCCGAATGGGTAACTAGTCCCCAACCTCTCCTGGGAGGAACAACTGGACTGTGGGATCAAACCCTGCACAGGCCCATCCCCCAGGTTGTGCAAGGCCCCTCTCTGGAGAGCCAGCAAAGCCGGCTCAAAGCCACTGCTTCTGCCCCACCCGGGGCCCCAGTCTGGGAAGGACAGGGGAGAGGCATCTGAGAGGCAGGAGGGAGGAGAGGCAATGGGTGGGGAAGGGAGGAGGGGCAGTGGGGAGGGTGCTAGATGGCAGGAGCAGTGCGGGGGAAGTGGTGGCACACAGCGCAGCACAACCAGAGAGCGCTCTGCTCACATATCCCAACGCAGCTTCCTCTGCTCGCCAGGTGAAGAGTGCGTTCAGGGAGGGAACAAGGCAGGAAACGGGTTTACAAAGAGGAAAAGAACAAAGAGAAGACCACTTAGTTGGGGGAGCACCAGAGTCCCTGCAGAAGGTACCCTGCAGCGGCAGTAGCCTTTGACACCCACAGCCTTGGCACTTGTGGGGTGGAGCACCCACCCACATTGAGGCTGCAGCCCTGACCTCCTGCCCACCAGAAAACTTCCTGGTGCTGAAGGAGGCAGCGTGGGGCCACCAGCCACCACTTCTTTGGCTGACCGGAGAATGGAAAGTGGAGTTGGTTGTGCCTGGAAACTTTTTTCTCAGAACAGAAACCTCAAGAGGGCCCTGACTCAAGGCCTGTGGCGCCCTGGTCTTGGTGAGGCCAAGCGAAGACTCATGCAGGGACACAAAGCAGGGTGGTGGAAGATGGCCCTGGAGGCATTTCCAACGCTCAGGAACTCCTCAGGGTACCCAGTGTGACTGTGAGGGCTCCCAAGGTGGCCCAGTCTGGGAGATTGGTGGGTCTCTGGTGCTGACCAGGTGTCCCGCCTGCACCTACATGCTCTGATGGGCAGAACATGTGATGAAACCCAGACCATCAAAAGCCTCCTGCCAGAGGTGCCAGCACTGCTTCTCCTGCCTGAGTTGTACTGCAGGTGAAGGACAAAGCTGAGGTCAGGGGGGTAGGAAGGGGAGGGCAGGACCAAGCCCTCACCATCACCCCAGGGAGGAGGTACCACAGCCTGAGACAGATAGGCCCTGTGGCTGCTGGGGATACATCTGTGGTTCCTGCCCTGGAGCCCTGTAGTGCTGGCCCAGGAGACAACTATGCTCTTAGGGTCTGGACCCCATTGACACTCCACGTGGGGAAGAGCCCCCAACAAAGTCTGGCCAGCATGGGTGCCCCTGACCTTGGGCAAATCACTTAACCTCTCTGTGCTTCAGTGTTCTCATCTGCCAGCAAGGGGAAACAGAAACAGGACCACTCCACCCCTCTGTATCTGGGGACAGAAGGGCAGGCTGTGTGCACGCCTGGCTGGGTGACAGTCAACCTGGAGCTCCATGTAGATATTGGAAATGCCTCCGTCTGTGTAGACAGCTGCAGAAGTCTTACCTGACGCTGAGTTCACGCTGTGGCAGCAACACAGGGAAACACAAGGGAACGGGTGACGCATCAGTGACCAGGGCAAGCAGCCAGGCCACCCCCCACCCAGGAATGGACACACTGCAGCCTCATAGGGAAATGGCTCAGGTGGGTGTCAGCTATAGGAGGAGGTGAGCTTCTAATGACTTCTAACCTGGGGATCACCTGGACCAGGACTTGTGGTTCTAGACAGGGCAGACAGAGCCAGGAACCTCTGGGCTGAATTCTGCAGGCCCCAGGCTACCATCAGCCAATTAGAGGGTGCAGCCAGACTCTAAGGCCTAGCAGCAACAGAACACCTGCTGTGGAACTTAGTGGAACAGCATCACTCCCAGAGTGACCCACCGAGAAAGGAGTCACTGGCTGATGTGATGCTAAAACTCCATGATCCTAGGCCAGTGGTACAGTGTCACCCTTGTCACCCTAAAAGTGTTGAGTGGATAGGAGCCCAAACTCCTGTTTAAGGCCAAGCTCCAGCTGGTTAATGGTGGTAGCGGGTCTTCTGCTGGAGCCTGAGCACCTGAGTACCCCACCCATCTCAAAGGGTTGGGAGCTGACAGAGCAGGCTCAGGATATTCAAGGGCTGGCAGCTGCAGGGAACAGTGAACACGTGGGGCAGGGTGAGCAGGGTGCTGTTGGGGTAGACAGTAGAGTGGCAGGGACTACACTGCCTCGCCATCTCACCTCCTCCAGCTGGCTGTGTACATGCTGCACGATCAAGTCGATGGCCACTGTGTTCCCGCTCCCTGGAGGGGGACAAGGAGGAGGAAAACTCAAGAGGCCGAGTCATCTGCCCACCCCATCCCAAGGTGGTGGCCTAGCAGGCTCACCTCTGGGCACCACAATGTCTGCCAGACGCATGGTGGGCTGGATATACTGGTCAAAGGCAGGCTTCACAAACTTGTTATACTGCTTGATGACGCCCTCAATGTCCCGGCCTCGCTCACCGATGTCCCGGCGCAGCCGCCGAACCAGGCGGATGTCAGAGTCTGTGTCCACAAAGATCTTCATGTCCAAGAGCTAGATGGGAACAGCAAGCCAGAGATCAGGACTATGACCTGGCCCCAGCAGAACCAACATAATGACACAGGGTCAGCTCCTGCTTTGTGAGACCTGCAGGAGGGAGGGCCCAGGACCAACTGTCCTGTCCAGAAGCATGAGCCAGTGTGTGTGTGTATGAATCTGGGATGAATGTGTGAGTGCAGGATACTATGGGCCAGAAGCACAGGACAGAAGGAACTGAGGAGTCAGACAGGAGCAAGGCTGGGCAGTACAACATACACGTGACTTTGTCTCATGCAGTTCCCATGAACACTGGGGAAGAGGGCTTGTTGAGCTCTGGGTGTGACTCCCACTCAGCATGTGGCAGGTGGTCACCGGAGACACTGTGTGGAGGCTGGGGCTGCTGTGTGCAGAAAGTGAAGTCCTCTGGACTTGGGCCATGGTCATACTCAGCTTTGCCATGGAGGCCCATTGTGACCTGCAGCAAAGTCCCTCAAACTCACTGGCCTTAGAACCTTATCTGTCCCTTGTCGAGGACCAATAATGACAAAGAGCACAGCAGACACAAAACAGGCCTCAGCAGGTAGGAGAGGGAACCACTGTCCCTAGCAGCTACATCCCACCATGCTGATGGGTTACCAGATCACACTGTTGCCTCCCTGCAGTACACCTGGTAGGACCACACCTGGAGGCTGCTGGGACAGGAGGTGGCTTGCTCTGACAGCACAGAGCATGGAGGTGTTTGGGATGGGGCAATGGGGCCTTGTGGAGAAAATGTGTTAAACACAGGGAGGCCTATGGGTAGGTGTTCCCAGCAGGCCCTCACCTCCAGCAGTGTTTTGTCAGCAAAAGCCATGATGCCCTCAAAGATAATGACGTTTGCACCATACAGAGTTTTCTGCAAAGGAAACAGGGATTTCAATGCCCAACTCGTGCCTCTGCTGCCCACTCTGCAGCCCAAGGCCCTGGGGCTTACCCAGTCCTTTTTCCGGCTGTGGGTGGTGAAGTCATAGATGGGCACTTGGACACTCCTGCCCTGTTTCAGCTTCTTGAGAGTGGAAATGATAAGGTCAAAGTCAAAGGCATCAGGATGGTCAAAGTTGAAGTTGTTGTGGGCAGCCTGCTCCTGCTGCTGCTGTGTCAGAACCTGGAGGGGGCATGGAGCTGCAGACATGGCCATGCCCCTCCCACAGCCCCCAGCTGGCCATGCTGGGGCCCAGCGACTGTGGGGCTGCATTTGGGGGGACTTGGGGTCAGAGGAAGGAGGTAAGACACTTTGGGGAAACTGAGCAGGGCTCACCTTGTAGAAAGAGTCCATGGACAGCAAGACTACCCAGGGTACGTCCAGTGCCTCGATGATCATTCTGGCCACAGTGGTCTTCCCGGAGGCACTGCCACCTCCCAGGCCTGTGAGGGGTGGGGGTTGGTATAGTGAAGACCTCATGGTCAGGAGCAGCTGGTCTGGCTACATGGATGGCTGTCAGAGGTGCCTGCCCACAGTGCTCTCACCAATGGCGAAGGCTTCTTTGGACTGTGTGCCATGCTCATTGTACCAGGGTGGCCGCCCGGCCGTGTAGATAGTACGCTTGCTTGTGCGCAGCAGTGGGGCTCAGACTTGCATTGGCTGGTAGTACGCTTCCGGGTGAGCGCCCAGTACCCACAGGTGGGAGAAGTCTGTCCAAGGGCCCTGCATTGCTGCTGCAAAGAGGGAAGCACTCAGTGTGGGTCCATGTCTGCTGAGCTTCCTAGTACCATGGTCGTGTCTGAAGGGGGACAGGCAAGGTCTGACCAAAGTGGATGGGCTCAACTAGGGGGTGCACAAGACATCTGCCTGTAGCCAGTCCACAGGGCTCATGGGGTGGGGGGAGGTAAACAGGGGCCTTGAACCATCTAATCCACACAGCAAAGACAGAGGGACAGCAAACAGTGTGAGAGAAACAGGAGATCGCATCATCTCAGGTTCAACCTCTGCCTCTGAGTGAACTGGGCTGGGCAGGGCCTCATTCCCAGGGGACGCCAGGGGGCACTCAAGGACAAGCAAGATTTGGCACTGAGGACTGTGGTCCCTCCCTACACCAGGACACTCTCGTGGGCAGCCGCAGTCACTGCCATCCTGTTGGACAGGTGCTCCAACATGATGGGCAGTAAAAGGGACACATTACAGCTCACGGCAGTTCAAACTTTTGACAGAGGAACTCTGTGCAGGGCAGTGCCTGGTCTGGCACTCTGGCTGCCAGAGTGCAGGTAGACAAAGGCGAGGAGACCCAGGCTGGGAAGTCAATAGGGACCCACTTGATCTCACATGACCCCCTTCTGGGCCCTAAGATGGATACCTCCAGCAACCTACAAATGCTACACAATCTGGGCTGACTGAGAAGCTGACCCTGTGAGTGGCCCAGAGGGAAATAAAATTTGAGGAAGGCAGGAGGCCTGTACCTGTTATCCATCTATACCCATCACTCATGCTGGGCTGCCATTCAGATCTGCTGCCCATGGTTAATTTAATCCCTAAAGGGGTGCTGAGAGTGAGAGACTGGGCTGGTAACATGGCTCCAGCATCATCTTTCAGGCTGCCAAAGAAGGCTGTCAATGGGTTGGCCCTGGCATGTCAATGGTGCCACCATGTGGGTGAATGACTCAGAACCATGGCCAGTGATTGTGCAAGATGAAATGCCCCAGCAGGCTGGAGGGATGTCTATAGCAATGGCAGGTGACAGGCAGGATCAGCTGCTTGGGGAATGTCTCCTGCAGCAGTATTGCTTATCTGCAAGGTCTGGAGTCCCACAGACCATGGAACACTGCAAGTAGTATACCAAAGAACAATGAGGTGATCTGCAGGTGCAGATGGGGCAAGGTCCTCTCCAGAGCATGGTTAGATTTGAAGAAAAACAACTGTATGTACTGGCACAAAAACAGACATGAAGACCAGTGGAACAGAATAGAGGATCCAGATATGAAGCCACACACTATAGCAACTTATCTTTGACAAAGGAGCTAAAAATATACGATGGAGAAATAGCAGCCTCTTCAACAAAAACTGCTGGGAAAACTGGTTAGCAGTCTGCAAAAAACTGAAACTAGATCCATGTATATCACCCTATACCAAGATTAACTCAAAATGGATCAAGGATCTTAATATCAGACCCAAACTCTTAAGTTGATACAAGAAAGAGTAGGAAATACTCTGGAGTTAGTAGGTATAGGTAAGAACTTTCTCAATGAAACCCCAGCAGCACAGCAACTAAGAGATAGCATAGATAAATGGGACCTCATAAAACTAAAAAGCTTCTGTTCATCAAAAGAAATGGTCTCTAAACTGAAGAGAACACCCACAGAGTGGGAGAAAATATTTGCCAATATACATCAGACAAAGGACTGATAACCAGAATATACAGGGAACTTAAAAAACTAAATTCTCCCAAAACTAATGAACCAATAAAGAAATGGGCATGTGAACTAAACAGAACTTTCTCAAAAGAAGAAATTCAATGGCCAGAAAACAATGAAAAAATGCTCACCATCTCTAGCAATAAAGGAAATGCAAATTAAAACCACACTAAGATTCCACCTCACCCCTGTTAGAATAGCCATCATCAGCAACACCACCAACAACAGGTGTTGGCGAGGATGTGGGGAAAAAGGAACCCTCTTACACTGTTGGTGGGAATGTAGACTAGTACAACCACTCTGGAAAAAAATTTGGAGGCTACTTAAAAAGCTACATTGATCTACCATTTGATCCAGCAATACCACTCTTGGGGATATACCCAAAAGACTGTTACTTTCCAGAGGCACCTGCACATCCATGTTTATTGCGGCACTATTCACAATAGCCAAGTTATGGAAACAGCCAAGATGCCCACACTGACGAATGGATTAAGAAAATGTGGTATCTATACACAATGGAATTTTATGCAGCCATGAAGAAGAACGAAATGTTATCATTCGCTGGTAAATGGATGGAATTGGAGAACATCATTCTGAGTGAGGTTAGCCTGGCCAAAAGACCAAAAATCGTATGTTCTCCCTCATATGTGACATTAGATCAAGGGCAAACACAACAAGGGGATTGGACTTTGAGCACATGATAAAAGCGAGAGCACACAAGGGAGGGGTGAGGATAGGTAAGACACCTAAAAACTTAGCTAGCATTTGTTGCCCTTAAGCAGAGAAACTAAAGCAGATACCTTAAAAGCAACTGAGGCCAATAGGAAAAGGGGACCAGGAACTAGAGAAAAGGTTAGATCAAAAAGAATTAACCTAGAAGGTAACCCACACGCACAGGAAATCAATGTGAGTCAATGCCCTGTATAGCTATCCTTATCTCAACCAGCAAAAACCCTTGTTCCTTCCTATTATTGCTTATACTCTCTCTACAAACAAATTAGAAATAAGGGCAAAATAGTTTCTGCTGGGTATTGAGGGTGGAGGGGAGGGGGGGAGTGGGTGGTAAGGGAGGGGGTGGGGGCAAGGGGGAGAAATGAACCAAGCCTTGTATGCACATATGAATAATAAAAGAAAAAATGAAAAATAAAAAAATGAAATGTACATTTCCAGTTATAATAAAACCAGATAGTTGAAAATGATTATCAGGGCCTGGTGTGATCCCCAGCACTGCCAAAATTGAAAGAAAGAAGAAGAGAAAACAAAGCAAAGGCAAGCAAAAGCCAGACAGGCGGTGACTCACCTGAGTGTGCCATTTGCATGTCACTGGTGAGTGGCACAGAGGCGCTAGAAGCAGTTATGCAGTCACATCACTCTCAGTAGAAGTTTGGGGCTAGGGACTTTTGCACATTTAATGTTTTATAAGCACAAACATTTTCCTAGCAAGTTCCAACTGGAGGACTGGTGGCGTGGCCTCAAAATGGTTAGAGAACACTGCTAGGCAATGTGTGTGTGAGGCCTGAGTTCAAACACCTAGTACACCCAAAAACTGGGGCTGGTTGAGTGGCCTCAAATGGTAGAGCAACCTGGCTAGCAAGTATGGAAGTTTGATTCAAATCCAATTCTGCAAAGATAAGCAAAACTACAACTAAAAGAAAAAACCCAATGGAAGCTGGGCAGGGTGGTATAACATCTGTATCCAGCACTCAAAGAGGCTGAGGCAGGAGGATGCAGTGAGCCTGAAGGCAAAGCCTGGGGTTACATAGCAAGTGTTCCCAAAAAGAAAGAAAGAAGAACGAAAAGAAACAGGCACCTGGAGGCTCACACCTGTAATCGTAACTAAGGAGGCAGAGATAGGAAGACTGATGCGTTAAAGCCAGCCCAGGCAAACTAGTTCTTGAAGATCCTATCAGAAAAAATGTGCAACCAAGAAACAGGGCTGTAGGCACGCCTACCTAGCAACATTGAGGAATACTTTCCAAAAAAAACAAAAACAAACAAAACACTAACAACAACCACAAAACTGGCCCTGCTCTGGGGAAGCTGACCTTTCCTGATGTCATTGTGCCTCCTAGCCCAGTGGTGGGTGCTTCCGGACTGGTGCAATGCCTCTTCTTGCTTGGATGGCCTAAGCATCTCCAGCCTTGAGTAATCACTGATGTTTTAGCTGTGTGGTCTTTCACAGAGCTCGGAAGGGTTGACCAAAAGCCAGGAGAAATATGTCCTGTGTGGCACATGTGGTGGTTGGGCAGTAAATTAGGACACGTGAGCAAGCTGGTGACGCCAGATTCGACAAACAGGCCACAGAACCGGACAACCCTCAGTGTGAAAGCAGTAAGAAACTACTCATTTTGTCTCTTACAAGGAAACATGCCTTGTACTTTCCTTGGGGAAAAAGAAAGACAGGCCGCCCTGTTGTCTATAGCCATCCATCATCAGGAAGTTAGCTTGGGGAAGTGAGCACAGGGGATAATTAAGTAGTTCTGCTTCGCTCACCTCACCCTCCTGTACTCTGGAGATAGCCTGGAGCTGAACACAACAGCATAAGCCAAGTTAACTCCAAGATGGTTAGCTCTGGGGTCCTACGGGACAGAACTGCTCACCTATGCTGGAGATGGGAGCAGTTTGCCCATCAGCATTGCATGGGCTAAAACAGGCTGGCGATGTGACGGGCCTCCTGAAGGGTGCCCTCTGTACTCCCCACTTAACGCCTGCCTGGGTGGCTCTTGCCAGAAAAGGAGGACAGACTTGTAAATGAAAAAGTGATGTCGCCCAGATCCCCGAAACGAGGTAGCTGGAAAGCTTCACCTTTGCACACTATCCACAACCAGTAAACAAAATGGGTCTTGTGAGGTTTCAACCCATGGGCTGCGCCGCTTCCCAGTGGGTGATGGCTGGGACCCACAGCTGTTGAATGTGAGCACACCCCATCAGGTTCCAGGCTGGAAGCTGCCTTGGTCCACAGTAACCAGCATGATCATAGCAGACAGGGTAGCTCCAGGAGGTGCTGGAGGCCCAGGGACAGAGATCAAAAAATTTGCATCATCTGCCTTTCCTCTGCATCCCCCACTGTCATGGAGAGCTGCCCTCTGCTTTAGCCTGAGAGAGGAAACTCCAAAAAGAAAATCTGATTTGTAAAGAAACAGATCCTCCTGAAGGGAACTCTCAGAGCTGCCAGTGGCTATGGCCCTGGATTCCAGTGGAGAGCATGCCCACACACCAAAAGCTGGCATCAACTAAGACAGACACTAGACAGAGGCTGGGGCTACCTCCCTGGGAGCTTTCAGGTCCCCAAAAAGTGACTCCTCCTCACCCTGGTGAAGAAGCCACGTACCATCACCACAGATCTTTTCTGGGGCTTGGGCACTGAGTCCAGTGCAGACCCTTCTGCTTTGAAGAAAGCCAGGTACAAGCAGACCAGGGAGGACTTTGCCAGAAATCTGCCCCATTTCATTTGCTACGGGCCCAAACAACAGCTAAGTCTGCACCAAGCTCAGCTCTACTGCCTTCCCCAAAATTTTGTCTCTCTGAAAACAGAGACAAACTCTTTTTCTCACAAGAGATACCCTTGAAGGGAAAGTTTGCATGAAAGACCTCATTTCCCATCCATACTTGGACAACAGTGCTTCTGGCCACAGTGACAAGAATTAATGTCAACAAAAAAGGATTATAAACCACAACAGATAACAACCACACTCATAACTCAGACCAAGTGAAAACCACGCCTACGGGCCAAGCTCTGCTCAGCTCTCAAGAGCACCTGCAGCCTGTTTGTTTCCTGATATCCATAGACACACATCATACTCAGTCTGAGTAATCAACACACTGAAGGTGAGCTCTCCTTACCAGCTGTGACTCTGCTGCAACTCACCTGCTTTCTGTTCCAAGGGCCAGCAACCCTGAGATCCTGATGCCAGGGTAAGCTGGGGGCTGCTCATGGCGAGGATGTGGTTGGGCAGAGTCCCAGAGGTGGGCTATTCCTGGACAGCAGGGTAAACCCCAAGTGTCTGTGCCCTAGATGCTGACAGTTTAGGGAGGTATCACTACCTCTTAGGACTCAAGCCGCCCCCAAGGACAGTTCAGGAGCTCTGGCACCTGACCAGACCATCCATGGGGAAGAAATCACTCCTAGGACCTTGCTGGCAGAGGCAGCCTGCTGGGTACAGGGGTAGGCACAGCAGAAGGGAGGCCCCAGGAGTCCAACTGCACTAAGGGGAACACACTTACTGCCGGCCTCAGAGGCCAAGGCCACAGGCATAAGAGGATCACCCAGCTGGGGCTTGTGCACCAGATATTAATAGCACTGACTTTGTGCCTGCACAATCCTTCAAACAGCCGTCAGTGTGAATTGCCCTTCTGTGTGCAGGCTGGCATGCTCACCAGTCTGGGGCTTGCTGAGGACCAATGTGCTCCAGTACCCCTCCTTGAATTCCCTGGAAGAAAAACCAGCTGTACCCCCACACTACTTACAAACAGGACAGGAGAAATCTGAGGCCCCTCCTGGCCAGGTGCCCTGAATGTCAGTGCTGAGCTGGGCACCCCATCCCTGCCCCAAGGTGCCTCCTACATGCATAAACAAATCTGAAACTCTACCCTCCCCAGCATCCAAGAATAACTGTCCCACCCCACTCACAGAGGCTCCAGCAGGTGCTTGGGGCCACCTAGTGCTCAGCAGTCAGCAGAGGACATGGGCACCTCTCTGCCCATAGCAACCACAGGAAGGCAGATTTGGCCCCAATTTCAGCAGGGAGGAAACAGCTGAAATCCTTTTACTATCTTGCTAAGCAGGCGTTCTACCACTTGAGCCACTCCACCAGCCCTCCTTTTACTATCTTAGAGATCTGCCCAGAGGGTTCTACTGGCCCCAGGCCTCCTCCTGGGGTAAAGTGGACTAGGTATGCCAACCCCCTCCTCAACGGGGCTTTGTGGCCAGCTGGCTTCCAGCACTAAGACAGGGGCTAGTAGGGGCTCAGAGAAATGGGAGGATTCCATGTGCGCTTCATGCACCTGAAAGGACCCACTAATGGGAGCTGCCTTGGAGACAGCTCTCCTAGTCACAGGTAACTAGTGTATCTGCTTCCCCTCCAGAGGCACCTGGAGCAGGACCAACCTATCATGTGTGTCCTCAAGAGCTTCTTCCTGACTCCATTCCAGGTGACTGGCTGGCTGTACCCCAGGTAGGGGGAGGATAGGCAGAGTGTGGCCTACACTCAGGAAGGCTGACACTGTCTTGGGCAGGGGTGTAGAGTTGAAACTCCTGGAATCAGCTCACTAGCTTGGCTGTCTGAGCAGAACACGGGACTCAGGCTGGTCAACCTGGCGTGCCCTTGGATGCCCCAGCTGGTTAGGACCCGTGGGTAGAAAGCAAGCACTCTGGGAAGCTGGCACTGGCCCAGAAAAAGGTCTGAGTCCAGACATGCAGCAGCTAACAGAACAGCCAGGCCTCGCCCACGGACCTGCCAGTCTCCTCCCCGTCTCACAGACCCCGCCCACAGAACAGGCAGTCTCCGCCCCCAGACTCGTCAGCTTCGGCCTGCCCGAAAGAACCGCTAGCCTCTGCGCTCTGGCGTCCTCTCGTCTCGGGTGTTTAGGGCTTCTGAGGCAGGTGGTGCTGGAGGCTTTGTCACCTCAGGAATCCGTACCCTCTCCTTCACTCTCTGCTGGCCAGTCCACTCGGTCACAGCACGATTGTTGTGGCTCAGACCTCTCCACCACCCACCACTGAGCCACGGCTGGCCTGTATCCTTCTCAAAGTGCACTACAGGTTTCCTGCGGGCTGAAACAGGTGCCTCAGCGCACCCGTGATGACACCAAAGAAGTACTCACAGAAGTGTTCAGACTCCCAAAGCTGCCTGACAAAGAACATCCCCCATCCATGCAGAGAAACCAGAATCAAACTTTTACAGTAGGGACTGTTAGAGGGGAAGTTCACTACCTGGTCACTGCCGAGTGGACAAACACTTCAGATCTCTTTCTGTGGCCTCAGGGCTGTTTTTGGACTATGCTGCAGGCACTAGATCCCTTAACTGGCACAGGGTGGACAGTGTCTGCCTCGAAGTAGTGAGGGCACCAGAACAGGCCAGTTTGTTTGCTAGCAAAGTGTTTCCTCAAGAGCCCTCAAAGTTACCGGGCTTTAGCCTCTCTGCTCCTGATTAAGTCAAGACCCTCTGGACTAGCACACATCACAGATGCTTCTGTGAGACCTGAACCTTGCAGGCTCCTAGTCGCTGTCCACCGGCAGTATTGGGCCTGGAAGGCAGGATGACGTCAGGATCCCCCTCACCGGTCAGCACTTGCCTTCGCAAAGGCGCCCACAGCACCGCACTCCTGCTCACCCTGTCCGAAAAGGACAGTCAGACCCGGAAGAGGTGCCGCGTATAGCTGCAAGCGTGGCTACTACCCCAGGGTGACCAAGCCAGGTGGGGACGAACTTCCCCCCAGTGCCCTTCTTGCTTCTGAGTGCCTCCAGATTCCTAAGGGCCCCAAAACTTGAGGGGGCAGTCGGAAGGCACCACTCCATCTCACTCCCAGAATGAGATCACCGCTAGGTGGGCAGGGGCAGGCCCGACCCCGAACTCAAACCTAATTCGGAAGGTCGACCGAGTCCTAGGTGCTCAGGGGCGAGGCCCAACCACTCGGGACGGAAACCAAAGACCACCCCGGAGTGCGAAACAGGCCTCCATCCCCCGCACCCTCAGAAGCCGAGGGTTCGGTCTCTGGCCTCTCCGACCCATTAGGCCGCCTGCCCAGTACTGTCCTGCTCCACCTCGGGAGGAGGTGCAGACATACTGCACCCGGCGGACAGCCCTGGAAGAGGCCCGAGGCCGGGCTGGGTCCACGCTGCCGCCGCACGCAGCAAAGGCAGCGCCCACCCAGCCGACCGAGGTCCCGGCGGGCCGGCCTCGCCTCGGGGACGCGTCGGCTCCAGAAGGGGCTGCAGCCGCGCGGAGACCCCCTGCACTTCCGCCGCCAACCGGAGGCGCGTGCGGCCCCCGCCATGCTCGGGCCCGCGCCTACCGGTCCTCGGATGCTGTTTCACTCTGCTCCGCCGGCCCCCCAGGCACATCCTGAGCCGCGGTAGGCGGCGGGGCGAGGGGCGGCGTCCGCAGAGGCGGGCACGCAGCCATGGCGCCCCAAGACCAGGCGGCGGCCGGGCCGGCGTGCCCTGAGCCAGAGGCGCCCGCGGACTACGAGCCCCATAAGGCTGTGCGGCGCCGGGCGCGCGCCCCGCGTCTTAGCACAAACTCAGCGGCACAAAAGCCCTGGAAAAAAAAAATCAGTATTTATTTGATACAGTCATTTTAATACATACAGTTGATGGCCCGCCCCCACGCCACTCGGAGCCAGACGGCGGGATAGGACGAGGATGGGGACAGATGGTCACAATTCGGGCAAGGCCCAAGCTCACCTCAAAACATCTTGCAAATAAACACTTTGTAGATAGAATATATATGTGTATATATATGGTTACAAGTGATAGCTGGAACCTGTCTTTCGAAATGCACTTGTGTACGGAGGACTGCATTAAAAAAAAAAAAAAAAAACTAAACTAAACCAAGAAACCCAAAGTTTAGGATGCATGGTTGCCAGCAGAAGGGACGACCTACTGGCCTTCTGGAACCCAGGCCTGCAAAGCAAGATGCCTGGCGCCACCCAGCCGGGGCGCACAGGGACAGCCCTCCTTACCAGGGCTCCCTTCTGAACCACCAGATTGGAAGGCCCAAGGTTATGGGGCACACCCTCATCTGCCTATGCAGGAGAGTAAAGTGCATCCTAGCTGTGTGTTAAGTGTCAACCCCTCGGGCACTTTCCTGTTCTCAGGGCAGGGCGTGCACTGAGCCAGAGGTAGATCTGCAGAAACCCCGACTGTCGCATTTTGCTAGGGCCCAGGGCTTGTGTCTCCAAGGTCTGTGCCCACATCCTGAGGGTCTGCCATGCTGGTCCTTTCAGAGGGTGTCTGTCGAAGCTGGTGGTCACCTGGCCACCTGTGGGCCAGAGTGGGAAGGTGGGAAGACCCTACTGAGCCCTACCCTCTTCGGAGAAGCGCTCTGCAGACTAGTTCACCTCTGCTCAACAGCAGTACTGGGAGGAGGGTCTGACCCAACAGCCACTCTTCAGAGCAGCTCCATGCCGTCCTCACAGACAAAGAAAGGAGTTAAAGTGCTAAACATCAAGTCACCCAGGACCCCACTTCCCACATGAGGGCCTGTGGGCGTCTGGGAGTGTCCTGGAAACCCACCCCCCAGCAAAACCCAGGCCCTCCACCATACCCCTAAGTGTCTAGTACCTGAGGCTAGGGTGGGCAGCTATACCCTGCAGAGGTATTGGGGTACAACCTTCTCTGCCATGGGTAACAAGGGCAAAGTGCACCGGGGCCTTCCTCCCCCTCTCCAGCTACACATCACTACCCCAAAGCCTCAGCCTCTTTTGACCACTGACACTGTTATCACACCCACCCTCTGCCTATGCAGCCTTCCTGTGATCAGGCCAAGATAATGTGGTGATGTGGAAGCTCACTCTACACCCTTCCCCAGCACATCAGATCAGGACTGCCCAGAGTCAGAGCCCTCCCAGATACAAAGGGTATAGTGGCCCCACCCAGCAAACCCCTTGGAGCTTATCTTCCTGGAGCCCCTCTCCCTTGGGGCAGAGAGGTTATCCAGTCAATACTGTCCCCTGGGCAGAAGAGGGGCCCTGGCTACAGCCACAGCCCAGTCCAGTCCAGCCCCACCTTCGGCACCAGGAAACCCTTAGCACCAAATGTCAGGTTGTGAGTTTTTGTATAAAAAACAGAATTTTAAAAAAGATTGTTACTTGTCACAGCAACAAGACTGGCATCCACGACACCCAGGAGACGCGCACACAGGCAAATATCAAATTCACATCATCCAGGATCAGAGGCTGAGCCCTCAGCCCACCCCACTCCCACCACAAACCCCTCTCCCAGCCTCCTCCTCCCTGCACACAGGGGTTGGGAAGGTGGGGGCCAGTAAAGAGGCCACAAGGTGAGACTGCATGCAGAGCCACCTTCTCCAGGCACCCTGGGCTCCCTGCCTGACTCTGCCCAACTGACAGATCCTGCCACCCTCAGGGCCCCAAAGGAAGTTGGGTCCAGCCCCAGAGCTGCCACCTTGGCTGAGGCTTGCCCCTCACTGGCCTTCAGGTTCTGTATCAAATGACCATGCCACCAGACACACAGCTCAGGTGAAGGGGAAGAAGGGCTTCCACTAAGCTAGGCCTCTGGGTTAGCATGGCATGGCAGATGCAGGCTGTCTCCCACTCCTCAAGATCTGGGTCACTTCTGCCCAGCCCTTGCCCATGTGCCCCTTACCCCAGGGATATCCCCTCAAGCTGCCAATCATGGCTTACAGCATCAGAAGCTGAAGGATAGAAGCATGGCACCAGCCCCTCACCTGCAGGCTGGCAGTGTGCCTGGACCTCTCTGTAGGTAGAACAAGCAGAGTCCCTCTCTTCCCAGAGGGGCTGCTTCCCTCACCATGATCACATCATGGGCCAGGGGGCATGGCCTGAAGCACAGCAGGGATGACAGACAGAGAAGGGGCAGGCCCAAGAGGTAGAAAACAGAAGCAGAGGATCAGAGGTGGGTGGACAAGGGAGGCTGTCAAGTCAGCATGGCAGTGGTCAGACGGGGTCTGTCCTGGAGGTAGCGGGGGATACTGGAGTTCCAGTGTTGGGTGGAGGTGAGGCCCAGACAGTGGCAGCCAGGCTGCCCAGGTATCCTCATCAGCCCAGAACCATGGGTCACAGAGATGCCTGAGCCTTGGGAGAACCAGGGTAGAGAGGGACCAAAGGCCATTTGAATGCTCTGCACTGCAGTCCCCATGTGCCAAGGCCCCAGGCCCTGCCAGCCCATGAACACCCTCATGAGAAGGCTAACCCACCTCAGCCTATTGCACTTCTGTTGCTGCCCTTGGCACCCCAGGGAGCCCAGCCAGCTGTGCCAAGGCAGCCTCAACAAGGGAAGGGCCACTTTCAGGAAAGGGAGAGTGGCTGGCCACCCCCACTAGACAGATGGGTGGGGGATGGGGGATGGAGGACAGGAGTTCCAGAACTGGTTCCCCTACCCTGGACAGAGTGGGGCTTGATGGCCATTGTGGGGCCAGGCCCCACCCACAAGGCTCACTTTTCAGGTGCCTTTCCGGCTCCAGCCTTCCGCCCAGTACAACCCCGAGCCCCCTTGTCTCTGGCTCCTGGGGTCCAGTCATCCCGACGGGGGGTTAGCTTGGACACAGACTCCTCAGGGGACCGTTCCTTTGGCTTGCGGCCCCGCTTCTTCCCGCCTGCCAGACTTTTCTTCTCTCTCCTGGGCATCAAGGAGTCCTGGCCCTTATGTCTGGGTGGTGGTCAGTTGAGGTCCGGAACCAATTCTAGAGAGAGAAAAGCTATGGTGAAAACCAAAGACCCTGCCCCCAAACTTCAGACCCAGCTGCCTTAGGACAGATAGGCAAACTGCAGGGAGGTAGCTAAGTGCAGGGTTCCTACTCAGAAAGGCCCCTGCTCAGGGTGACAGGTTGGCACACCCCAGTCTCCCGATCTTCCTGGAAAGCTAGATCCCACTTTAGGAGAACCCACCAAGTTTCTCAGCACATACCATCTGGGCCACCCACTCTCTACCACCCAACCCAGTGGAGAGCTCTCATACCTCCGCTGGTCTTGAGGATATGGTATTTAACGCCGCTTTCAGAGCTGAATTCTTTGGGCATAGCAGGCACGGTACTTCCCCACCAGTGGTCCCCCTGCAATGCACAGCAGTACAGTCCCCAACCCTCAGAGGACACAAATGCTCAGATCTGGCCTTAGCCCTTACCCCACTGCTAATAGGTCAGGGTCAGGTCAGGGTCAACCCAAACAAAGATGCATTGTCGGTGATGTACTCGAAAGCTGGGCTTCAAGACCTACAAGACATGACCACTGAGCCGACCATGCTGGATAGCTCTCATACCTCCGCGTGGGTCTTGAGGATATGGTATTTAACGCCGCTTTCAGAGCTGAATTCTTTGGGGCATAGCAGGCAGCGGTACTTCCCCACCAGGTGGTCCCCCTGCAATGCACAGCAGTACAGTCCCCAACCCTCAGAGGACCAAAGTGCTCAGATCTGGCCTTAGCCCTTACCCCACTGCTAATAGGTCAGGGTCAGGGTCAGGGTCAACCCAAACAAAGATGCATTGTCGGGATGTGTACCGAAAGGCTGGGCTTCAGAGACCTACAAGACATGACCACTGAGCCGACCATGCTGCAGTGTAGGTGTATATCCACAGATGAGAAGCGCCAGGGCAAGGCTTGGAACTGACTGTGGCTGGAAGTAGGGTTCAGGGAGGATTCATGGGCTGGCTGGCTGGCATTAGCCAGTCTCTGGGCTTGTGTGCAGGGTGAAGGAGAGGGTATCATGCTAGTAAGTGTGGACTCCTGGCAGGAGAAAGCTAGCAGTGCTGAGTACCCTATACAGCCATATTGAGGCCCAGCACTAACCTTGCTGCAGCTGGCAAGATGGGCTTTGAGGCCAGACACACTGGAGTAGATGGCTTCGCAGCACTGCAGGCAGGAGAGAGCTGTGGGGGAGGCTTTGCCAGGGCATCCCATACCTCAGCCCCAGGGAGCTCTGGGGCTTCTTTGGGGCAGTGGAGGGCCTGCTCCCAGGAGACCTGGGGTGTGGGCAGGCTGGGATGTGGGGCTAGAGGTTGATGCCCCTCTGCTGACAGGGTCTTCATGAGGACCCTGCAGAAGCCCAAGGTCAGGAAGGCAGTCACCTCCTGACAGGTCTGTCTCAGCCTCATGTGCTATCTGAAGGGCCACACCTGGACCCTCTTTCCTAGGCCCCCCTCCCCCACATCCCCCACCCGCCTGCCCCAGCTCACATCATTGGGACAGTTCACGTGGCCCTTCTCCTTGACTTCATTCTTCCATGCCTCCAGCAGCTGGGGGTTGAGCGTTGGGAGGCCTGGCCGAGTGTAGTTGAGCTGCAAAGCCAGGCACAGCTCCACATGAGCCCCAGGGTGAGGCACCTGCTGCTCTGACAACATGTGCCTCTACAGCAGGCTTGAGGCCCCTCCATACATGGAGTCAGTAGATGGCCAAAGTCACAAGGGCATGGCTGTCACAGGAAACTCTAGAATGAGGCACATCCTGGCCAGAGATCAGGAGGTTGGGGGACTTGGGGGAGCAATTAGGGAGTGACCATGGCCCATGGTCCTGCCCATCACTTGGTTAGGGAGCTCACCCGTGCAGTCTCAGGCACAAGGTCATCCTTCATGCGCCGCTTGGTCCAGTCGTGGGCCAGCTCGTCCTCCGCGATCTCCTGTAGGTGGAACACAGCAACCTGGGCCGATGTGCGGCGAATGCGACCACTTGGGGTCCGCTCCACACCCAGCAGGTCCTCAGCTTCGGGGGTCTTGTCTGTGGACTCCTCGGAGGGCTAGAGGGGGGGGGGGGGGGGGGGTGGGACACAAAGAGGTAAGCCACAGGAGGACAGCCAGAGACAATGGGTCAAGGTCAGCACAGGAAGAGGACATGTGTCCTTTGCAAGCAGAGGGACCCAGCGTGTATAAATGTACTGATGTGGATGACACAGGCAGCCCCAGGCTCCACCCTCCCTCCTACCAGGACACAAATGGCTTAAGATCACTAAGGTTAGGGATTGCATCTGTCAGGCAACACATGGACATGTGAACACATGCATGGCACACAAGAAAGAGCCTGTGCCACAGCCCAGGCCATATGAGAGCCACAAGAACACGGGGAACATGGGCAACTCACCGGGACTGTGTGCTCTGAGCGCACATGGTAGTCATGGCCAGCCTTGGAACGGTAAGTCTTACCGCAGTGGGCACAGGGAAAGGAGGGGCTGTCTATTTCACAGGGTGGCTTCCCGCAGCGCCGCTGGTGGTACTGATAGCCCATGAGGCTGGAGAAAGCAGCCCCACAGCCCTGGAGGTCCGGGTCAGAGGTTGGGTAAGTGGCCAGTAAGGTGCCTAGTCCTGCACCTGACCTGAGTACCCTGTTCCTGCCCCTCCACTGACCTCTTGGGGGCAGCGCAGCCGCCCCATCTGCTTCAGCACCTTGCGTAGCCGCTCTCGCTCCTCCTGCTCCCCTCTCTCAGAGGCCTCAGCATCAGTGGGCTAGGGACAGAGTGATCCTCAGATCCAAGTCCAGAGGTCAGGTCAGTGATCCAAGGTCAGGCATGGAGAGTGCAGTGGGGTGGGCTGAGAGGTCAGCAGTTAGGGCTGGATAGGGAATTGGGGGCCAGGCAGCATACCTTGGCACTGTGCTCTGCCATGGTGTGGTAGTTGAGGCCAGCCTTGGACTTGAACTGCTTTCGGCAATGCTGGCACTTGAGCGCCTCCTGCAGCTACAGACACAGCCCAGCCCAGCCCAGCCATGAGAAGCTTGGCCCGAGAAGCTAGATGGTCAGGCCAAGTACTCCTCCTGGGATAGCCTTACCTTCTGACACACCTCCATGTGCTTCTTGAGCCCCACAAGAGTCTTCCGGGTAACCACATTGCAGGTGGGGCAGATAGCCTCCCCCCGTTCATGGATAGCTCGCTGCCACTGCTCCTCAGGGCCACCTGTGAGGCAGGGCAGGGCCTCAGGGGCCTGTGGGGACTCTGGGTGCCCTGGACACCAGGTGCAGCACCCAGGTAGTACAGTGAGCCCCCATGCCTGTGCAATGAGATCCAGCCCACCACAGAGACCTGCAATGGGTCCCACCAGGCTGCTCCCACCTGGGGCTGGATAGGCTGCAGGATTCACCACCTCTTTGCAGACAGTGGTGGTAGTGGCCAGCACCTTCTTCCGCACATCCTCCGGGACTGGCCCTTCCTGCTTCTTGGAGCGGTGAACTCGGGCCTTGTCCTCCGCTTTGGCCAGGCCTGTGTGTAAACATGGGGTGGATGGGAAATATGGGCTGAGTGTTCGCACATATGTGGATGCACCCAGTAGGAGGTGCCCAGCTGGCTGGAATCTCACCTTTTAGCCCAAATGTCCCTGAGATGGATGGCTGCTCCCCTGTAAACTTCTTGGGTGTTTTCTGTTTCCTTCCTGACTCGGGGGAGAGAAAAGAGGGGCCAAGATTCTGGTCAAATAACCATCGGGAGGCTAGAGCCCACTCTGGCCACTGCCCTGGGGGCTTTCATCTTACTGTGCTTTGTACGCTCTGGGTCCTCCTCAGGTAGGGACATATGACTTGTAGGGCGCAGCATCTCCTTGCCCACTGAGGGCCTGCTGCCTGGCAGCAGGGAGCTGTTGCTGGGATCTGTACTCAGCTGGAAGGTTGCGCTCTGGCCCATGGTAGATGGGCCATACTCTCCATTCTCTGGCCTCGCCTGCTTGGGCAAGATGGGACAAGTGTCCAGGCCATCTGCAGCCCTGCAGGGAATGGGCAGGGTGAGGGCCAGTAAGGCCTGGCCCTGGCCCTTTCACCCCTAGGCAGAGCTAAGGACTTTCCACCTGGAGCAAGCTCCTGTACCTTTTCTTACCGCTGCTCTTCCCTGCAGCACGAGGCGCTTTGTTCTCAGACTTGGTCAGTAGTATCATTTTGCAGGGCGGTGTGTGTCTGCTGATGGCAACGGGCCTGCTGACCGGCACTGGCTTGCTGACCACAATTGGCCTGCTGACCGGCACTGGCTTGGTGACCGGCACAGGTTTTGTAACTGTCACAAGTTTTGTGACTGGCATGGGCTTGGTGACTGGCACAGGTTTGGTGACTGGGATGGGCTTGGTGACTGGCACAGGCCTAGTGACTGGCACAGGTCTGCTGACTGTAACAGGCTTGGTGACCGGCATGGGTCTAGTAACCGGCACAGGCTTGGTGACCGGCACAGGTCTGCTGACTGTGACTGGCTTGCTGATGCCAATGGGCTTGCTGACTCCCACTGGCTTGCCAATTGTGACAGGTTTGCTTACTCCAATGGGCTTGCTGACCCCAACAGGCCGGCTGATGGTAACCGGCCTGTTGACTGGACCAGGCTTGGGGGCAGGCAGGGGACGGTCCATGTGATTCCAAATCCGGTGCTTCTCCAGCTGGGTCTTGGAGGTGAATGCGGCCTCGCAGAAAGGGCAAGGAAAGGCCAGCCTATCTGAAATGGCGCCCTGGGCAGGGAGGGCAGGTGTGGGACGGGGCCCCGGGGGCCTCTGCCCAGATGCACCCCCAGGCCTCCTCTTCCCTGACCCGCAGCCCCTTACCCCTTGGCACCGCTGGTAATGGTACTTGAGCCCGTAGATGCTGGGGAACTCCAGCCAGCACCCTGAGTTTGGACACTTCACCCTTGAGTGTGCCTTGAATTCATCTTTCCACTGGTTCATCAAGGAGAGCTGGACGTAGGGAAAGGACATGTTGCTGACCCTCAGCCATGCAGGCCTCTACCAACCCAAGCTCCAGACTCAGAGTCCTCCCCAGGCCTACAGGGCACAGAGGCCATATGAGTCCCTCAATATGAGGACCACAGCAAGAATTCAAGCCATGCTCCAGATCTGTGCTGGGGGCTACTTGGACCTCACTGCATGCCAGATGCAAAGTCCCAAGGCCACATGCTGAAACTCAGAGTTAGCACAGGATGGAGGGCAGGTTAGAATAGGACAGTGGCCTCCACAGGTCCACAGGCTGTCCCAGCACGAGTCCTACCCCAGCCCTCAGGGAGCTCACGGGAATGTCTCGGAGGGCCTGGTTCTCAGCCTTCGGCCGCCCCTTTTTCTTCCCTTCTGTCCTGTCACTGGCTGGACTTCCAGGGTCAAAGCAGAGTGGGGCCTGGCCAGGCACTGTCTGTCCACTGTGGGCCACCGGCATCCCTGCAGCATAGGATGCAGTAATGCTCAGGGACTGCACAGCATTACCAGCTACCAAGGGGTAATGGGGCCAGAGAGAGCCTTGGTCCTTGGCTTGCCAACACCAGGGTACAGGTACATGTGTATGGGGGGGGAGTGTATAGGGTGGGGGGGGACACCAGCTTGGACAACAGCCCAATCCACAGGCTATGTTCACAGCAACATTCTCCACCCCAAGGAGGCCCTCAGGACACCCGGAGAGGAAGTCCACTCTACCACTGCCTACCCATGACTCTCTCAAATTGATTTTGGCACTAACTCCTCACCCAGCTTCAGTGGGTCCTGCAGCATGGGAAGTCGAACCTCTTTCCGGCTGCCACCCTTCCCAGGTGCACTCTTGCTGGAACTCTGGAGCCGGCGGCCTCCTCCAACACAGAAGGGGTCAGTCATCTCTGTGGAGCAAGTGTACCGAACTGTGAGTCTGACAGGCCCAACTCAAGGACTTTTGCTGGGACTGCCCTGGAGCCTGCTATGGACAGGCCCTCTCTCTGGCTATCACATGAAAAAGCAAATAATGGAGGCTCCTGACACAGGGGAGAAACTGCATAGCCAATGTTTCTCCAGACAATCCAGAAGGCACAGACAGTGTGAAAGGACCCGAGACCCTCACCACCTTCAACAGGCATATTGCATATTGCCCACCCCTGACCGATGCCCCACACTTCGGATCAGTCAGGGGCCTGTCCCTGTGCAAGAGGAGGGAGGCTAACATCTCTCCTAGGAGCCAATTATGGCACCAGGGATGGCTGCTGGCTCATAGGCAGCCAGCCCTGGCACCTCAGAGACACCTTTCCCTTGGGACCCTTGCCCCTGCCCATTAAGGCCCCAAGCAATGTCAACCTACCCAGGTAGGCACTACTGAATCCTCCTTTCCACACACAGGAGACAGCCAGTGTGAGTGCTGAGGGCCTCCAGCCCACTCCTCAACTACATACACTCCTCTCTTTGATGGACATCAGACTGAGGACTCACCAGCATCCTGTTCTAGTTCTGGTGCCTACTGAGCCATCCTACCTGGCTGTCTTCTCAGCTCTGTACCTAGCCAGGGCCCCTCACCCACACAGAAGTCTCATGCTCAGTCCCTGGGCCATCACAGGCTGGTCTCCCCTCCCTGTTATTCTAAACAGCCTCTAGGTTCCCTGTCTATGGATTTCATCTAAACAAGTCACAGCGAGCACTAGCAAGAGACCCAGGTTCCAGAGCCTCCCAGGCTGCAGGCCAGAGAGTATGCTGCTGCCCAATACTGGGTCTCCAGAGGTCTGTTCTGCTGGAGACTCCAATCCCTGAGAGGTGAGAAGCAGGTAGGGGTCTCTGAGTCTTGCCCTGTGGGGACCCTCCAGAGACACCCAAAGCCACAAAAGGGGGAGGTAACGGAGCACTGTGTGAACAGGTAAGCCCTCCCTTGATAGTTGCTGACCAATCCAGATCAGAGAGGGTGGGAAGGGTTGGGAAGCCCTGCTGTGTACAGGAGCGCTAAGGTCAGAGGTCCGAGTAGTCACTGACCACTGACAAGGGTGATCCTGCACCCTGAGCCCTGGGTCCGAGGTCAACCAACCAAAGTTCTCAGGGAGTTCTCAATTTGTAATTTCAAAAGGAGACAGCGTGGACATGAGTCATCGCAGCCCCTGATGACCCCAGAGGCCGGGGACGCAGGTGCCCCGAGAATCTCCCTTCCAATTTTTCCAAAGCCTGGGCAGAGAATTCAAGAGTTTTTTTTTTTTTTTTTTTGGGGGGGGGGGCTAAGGCCGGGCTGGTCTAGGAGGCAGAAACCTCCTTCTACCTGGACCTGAGTCTCGCGCACCAGGGCGCGAAGGGGCTTCCCCTGGCAGGAGCCTCCGGGGGAAGGGGCGCCGTCGCCGGCACGGGGGCCGCTCGGCCCCGATCCGGCCAGGTGAGGGCGGCCAGGAGGCGCACCTGGAGGCCGGTCGCCACCCACCTGTCACCTGCGGCAGGGTGCGGACGTGGGCCTCGGCCTGGCCCGGAAGGGCCAACCGCGGGGGGGCGAAGGCAGTGAACCAAAATGGCGACTTTTTCTGGAGAAGGAGGAGGCAGGAAGACGGCGCCGGCGCGGGGCGCGGGGCGCGGCGCGGGTCCGGGCGCGGGGGGGCGGCAGGCTGGGCCCGGGGCCTGAACGGGGCGGGCGCCAGGGCCGCGCGGGGCAGGGCCGGCGGCCGGCGCTTACCTGCGGCGCCCAGCGGGGTGCGGCCGGGCCGGGCCGGGCCGGGGCCGGGGCGCTGGGCGCGGGGTCCAGGCGGCGCAGGCTGCGCGCCGCGCTGCGCACATGCGCGCTCCCGCCCCTCCCACCTTTGACAGTTTTACTGCGGGGGGGAGGGGGCGAACTCTCGCGGTATTCCTGCCTCCGCTGCGCGACGGGGAGGGGGCCCATCAGGCCCGCCTGCTCCACCCGGCTCCAAGACCCAAGGCTTCGGTGGGTTGGACCTCCAGGGTCAAGTGGCCAGTCATTCTGTCCGTAGAGAGAGGCGTTTTGTGGAGGGGAGGTAAACTGAGGGACTCTAGGGGCGTGGGACGCTGCCCCACCTCGCGCTGGCAGTGGCAGGTGCAGCGAGCAAGGGAGGCTTCTATGCTCAGAGACGTTGACCTGCTCACCCCTCCCATGGGCTGACAGAGCAGGATTGAGACTCTTTGTAGCTGGCCTTGTGGCCACCTTAGTCACGCTCGCCACTGTGAAGGCCATGGAGCTTCGCTGGGATCAACTGACCGTTCAATCAACTTTGTGGGTAGTAGTCCTAGACCAGTAGTCAACACCTGCTCCTTTGCCCCAGAGCCTGAGCTGTGCTGGTGTCAGGTCTGGGCATAATGGGACCCCGCCCCCGCAGGACTTGGGATCTCCCTGGAGAGGGACTGGGGAGTGCCAAGCGCTGGCTGGTGAGGAGGTAGAGCATGCCTGGAGCTCCACAGAAAGGCAGCAAGGGATGCCTGTAAAAGATCTACTCTGCCTGCTCACAGCACCCATCTCCCAGGGGAGAACTCACCTCTTAGGAGGGAAGAGAGAGAAGAAAACTGGGTTTCCATTTTTGTGCCCACAACACTATGAAAATATTGTTTAATCGTGTATATTTATTACTTTTATAATTAAAACTGAATAAAAAATTTTAATACCCCTTTGTGCATTCCATAAGCGTTTTGGACTCCTCAAAATTGGTGTGGGCTGGAAATTGCTATTTGGGAAACACGGGTACAAGGTGTAGCTCCTTCTCTGGGTCCCTTCTTGCCCAGGCACTCTTTGCCTTGTTCCTCCTGGAGTAACTTTATTGCATTGCTTGGGGGCAAGGCAGAGAAGATATCTGCCTCTTCTCTATAGGACCTTGGAACTTGCTTTGCCTGAGGCTTGCACAGGATCTCACTCGTGCGGAAGGAGAGGCAGGGATTGAGCCCTCAGTCGGTTGGACCTTCCCTTGGAAATCAGAGCCAGTGTGCACTGCCATGCTCAAGTGACTCCAGCAGGAATCGGGGGAGGGAGTTACTGACACCAGGATGTTGGGTTGGGTCAGTGTGTATTCTCTGAGGTGCACCCAAGGTTGTCAGCTGTGTGTAAGTGTCTGTGTAAGTGTCTACAATTTATTTTTGGTGGTACTGGGGTTTGAACTTACAGTTTCACACTTGTAAAGCAGGCACCACAAAATGCAAACCTCAGTTTTTTTTTTTTTTTTTAGTGGGATTGGGGCTTCTTGCAAAACAGGCCCCCTACCACTTGAACCACACCTCCAGTCCTAGGTGCCTAGGATGTGTCAACGTTCACAGGAGGTGTGTGTGTAAGTAGCCATGTGTGTTAGGCAGCATCCAGGTTTGGACATCTCCTGTTTTAGGTGAGATCCATGCTCACCTGTATGTTAGTATCCAGATGAGCAGTCATCAGGGCACATGGGGTGTGTATCTGGATCTTAGCATGTGTGTCCTGGCTGTGGTGTGTCGAGTGTAAATATGTGTCAACATGTGAGGGACCAATTGTTTTCTCTGTGGAGCTAGAGGTCAGGTATTGCCTGAGGGTTTGTGTGTATTGAGAATGTGCTGTGTCTTGTGTGTTTCTGTATGTTAGTGGGTCATTGTTGTGCATTAGTATTTGTGTATTTTTACATAATTACATCTGTACATGTAGGGGTGTTGTATATCTTTGTGAGAATCATTGTGTTTGTGCATCTGGTCAATTACACAAGTGTATTTCTGTGTGGAGGCATGTCATTGCATGTCTGGATAACAATGTCACTGTCTCTGTTCATGTGTGTGTATCTGGTTGCTCTGTATCAGGGAGTGTGCTCTGATCTGTATGCTGTGTGTGTCACAGCATGGCCCTGTGTGAGGCTGAATAGTGAGCCCCAACAGATGACCATGCTAAATCCCTGAACCTTTAAATGGGACTTTATTTGCAAAAAGGGTCTTTGCAAATGTGATTAAGAATCTTGAGATGAGGTTAACCTGGACTACCCAGGTGGGCCCTAAATTTAAGCTTTCCTATAAGGGACAGAGGGAGATTTGAGGACAGAAGAGGAGTGACGTGACCACAGAAACAGAGATTGGAGTGATGTACTCTTGAACCCAGGAATCTGAGCCCCCAGAAGCTGGAAAAGGCAACCCTAACTGTAATCCTACATTGCACTCCTGAGAGAGCATAGCCCTGCTGAATTTTAGTCTTCTGACTTAGAGAACTGGATCAATTTCTTTTCATCTTCTCCTTCTTCCTATCTCTTTCCTGCTGGGGATTGATACCCCCAGCCTCTGAATAATCCATTGTTGGAAGCCACTGTTCATAGTTCTTTTTTAAGAACCTACACACCATGTGTCTGGGCTGTTCCTTTGAGTATGTGGGGTGTCCTGTCCACTCATGAATGTGTGAGGCCTCTTGTAATTGTAGTTCTGTTATTCCCTGCCCCCACCCCCATAGGAAGTCCCTCCAGGATGTGACGCTACTGCCCCCTGGTGGTCCCAGCTGCAGGTGCTGGACACCCCCCTCCTCCCACACCCAGCACTGTGGGCACTTGAGAACCAGGTTTATTTCTGATTTCTTGTCAGAGTATAAAAAAGTAAGCGGAAAAACAAGGAAGACAGGACAGAAGCAAGGGGTGGAGAAAACACAGGAGGGAGAAAAGAGGCAGACACAGGGCTGATGGCATAGGTAGGCAGAAATACTGGAAGCCAGCCCCAAGACAAGATGGGGGGGTCCCCCGTGGGGTGGGGCATACAAGATGGTAGGTGCCAGGCCAGTTGTCCAAATTCCACTTGGTACCTGCAATGACCAACCTCAAGTCCCATGGCCAGTTCTTGGGAAGGGACTGGAGGCTTAACCTCACCTGTCCCTGAGATTTTCAGATTCCTGGGGGAGTGGGAGAGGGCAGAGGAGCAAGAGGGGGGCTGCCAAGGCCACCCTCACTGGACCACTGCCAGGCAGCACCAGCCCCCAACTGCCCAGGGAGGGGTTTATCAGGCATCTGCTGGCAGATGTGGGGGCATGACCCTGTGGATAGTCTCCCTGTGAATCCACATTTTCTTGACAAAGCAACAAGGGGAAAACCCACACGCATGACTGATTCTCCAAGTTGGTTTCCAAGAGCCAGGGAAGATGCTTAAAAGCAATACTTTCCCAAAGGTAAGGCCAGAAGCACTGCTGAACCTGGTGAACTGGGAATGGAATTACTCATACGGGGATAGATTATTTGTGGTACCACAGTTTGTCTTTGGGTCTTGGGCACCCTGGGCCTCTCTCAGCCTTGGTTCTCATAAGTAGGTGTGGATGTGGTGAGGGATTCAAAAATAATGAATGAAGCACTTGGCATGGTACACAGTTGGGTGGGTACTGATGACCACTAGTCTGGACAATGGATTGGGCCTGCTGGGTCCTAGTGGGGGTAGGGCAGGAACACAAACCTAAGGGAGCCAAGGCAGGTTGTCCCACTGTGCAACTGACCTGGCAGTGCCTGGGAAGGACACAACTGGATGGGTCAAGGAACACATGCGTGACTCAGGCAATGGGGATGGTCACGCGGTGAAGGGAACATAAATAAACAGACTCCTGGGGAATCTGGGGGCATTCAAATCCCACTCAGGCTCCAGGCAGCTGCCCTGCTTGCTGCCAGCAGCACCAGGGGTGGGCCTGGGCTTGGGTTACAGGAGGAGGGGCTACACACAAGCAGCTTCTCTACCACACCCACAGGGCACAATCTGGAGTGTGTAACCAGGCACGCCTGGTGGTGGTGGTCCTGGTCCTGCCTGTTCACTGGGCCGGGCTTAGTCACTAGGGCATCCTGCCAGGGTCCAAGGGGGCTGCAGGGCCAGCTCTGCCTTATCCATGGCCGTGGGCTCCGGTCACAGTGTTGAGGTCTGGGGTCCAAGCCTGGGCAGCAGCTAGGACATGTTTCCGAAAGAAGCTGTAGGATGGACAGGAGTGAGGGAAGGGTGGGTCCCTACTACATCCCACCATCCCAAGATGGTCCTTTCAGGGGCCTCCAGACACCCTCTTGAGGTCACACCACTCACTGTGCACTTTCAGACCAGCCCTCCTTCCCACTCTCCTTCTCTCTCCCCTAGTCTCTTGGCATTCCAGGCTGTTCCCACTAACCTTGGCTGAGCAGCTGCAGGCTCCGCCCCTCCTCACGCACCTGCAGGCGAAGCACCTGCTGCAGCACCTCCTGTCTCTGGGCCTCCTGTGCCAGCCCCATTCGCTGCAGCTTCTCTGCGTTCAATCGAAGCAGTGCTCGGCCTGGGGAGAGCAGAGAAGCAAGAGGGCCTGGTGAGGACAACAGAGGCATCAAGAGCCAAAGCAAATGGTCTACATAGTGAGACACTGTCTCAGGAAAAATAAATAAATAAATAAATAAAAGCCAAGACAGAGACCAAGCGAGAATAAGAGAGGCCAAGCAGAGAAGTGTCAGATGAAGACAGAGCAGAGAGTCTAGGAGAGACAGAGAAAGACCACAGAAACACTGAAGATCCAGAAAGGAGGTTGGTTCAGGACACAGGTGGCTAGTGGAAAGGAGGTTCTCTTGAGCCTCTCCCTGTCCCATAGTCCCAACGTACCAGTGATGGCATGCTGGGAGAAGGCCTCGACGTAGACGAGGTAGTTGTGGGGACAGTGTTTCTTGAGCCACTTGCAAACGTCTTGCTGGCTCCACAAGACCACAGGCCGTGTCAGGCCACCTAGCGAGGGGCTTGTGTGGTACAGGCCATAGTGGTCAGAGTACAGACGGCCCTGCAGGGGAGGAGGGATGGCAGGTAGAGTGAGGGTGACCCAGCAGGGAGGGCAGGGGCTGAGTTTGGGTGGGTTTAGTGGGCACCTGGGGAGTCTCTGTGCCGGGCTGCTGTAGAAGCTTGATTGGCCTGCTGCTGGAGGCTCTCTGGCTGCGGGAGTCGTGCCACGTAAGGCTTGTACCGGGTGTCCGAGGCAGATGGCGGGGAATGCTCTCTGCTGACACTGTGTGCTCCAGGAGGGTCCGGCAGAAGCTGAAGTGGGCAGTGGCTGTATGCAGGGGTGCTTTGTCAGAGCAGTTAGGGGCAGGGCCAGAGACTTTTCTCCCCCAGAGCTAGCTCTTTGCCTAGCCCATTTTTCCCTCCACCAATGAGGGAAGCTACTTCCCCACTGAGAGCATCCCAGACTCCTAAGGTAGAAGAAAAAATGCAGGAGCTGTCTTGAGGATCCCCCCAAAGATGAACCAGACACACATTTCCCCCTTGTAAGCCTACAGGCCGCTCTTCTCCCAAAGTGTGCTTAGTCTGCTTAGATTGGAGGATGTGTGTCTCCAAGAGAGCTTGAGACCTACAGCTAGTCAATGGGGGCTATCTCAGGACTTCCCTAACTTCTTTTGCCTCTGCCTTGGGTTGACTCAGAAGCCTCACACATCCCATACAGGACCAGGGTATACACACAGGATGTGTCTTTAAGAGCTGGTCTCATTTCCTGGGAGGCCTTTATGGTGGGAGGCCTGGCTGAGGTTGCTGCCTGCCTATCACCATTAAGGGTGCCCAGTTCCCACAGTCATACCTGGTGTTTGAGGCTTGGCCCCTGCCCTGTTGCACTCACCAACTATGACTCACTGACAAAAAGCTCAAACTCTGGGCAAGCCAGCTACAGGGACTCTCCAAAACATGCTGGCTTTTCCTACTGTGAGGCCTCCACAGGGCTCAGCCCAGGACAGCACTGTGTAAATGTGGGCATGGGCTGTTCAATACAGGTGTGCTGGAGCAGTCTGCGTTGGGGACCCTCTTCCCACACCAACTTTGTTAGGCTGGTCATGTTTTAGTTTTATGGTAATTTCTGGGATCACCACTTACATGAGTTTGGGGACACAATTTCTAGATCTCTTGGGGTACAGGAGGCAACCCATAAACACTGTGAATAAATGAATGAACAAATAAAGGTTCTGTGTGGTGTATTCTCCTGGTCTCTACAGTTGAGGTTCCCATGCCAGGGCCCTTGTCCTGCCCTACCACCAGAAGTGCCATGAGAGACCCCTCCAAAGAAACCACCATCCTTTCCACACTGGGACAGGGCTTGGTGATGTGTCTAGGAGTTCTGAGAAGCCTACATTTTTACTCCCCACAAGCTTTCACCTCTGTAAGAATGCCCCCATTCTTGCAACATTGCATCTGGGCCCCCAGGTGATGCTAAATTTAAGGTTTAAGGTTAGATAGAAGGTGTGGTCACTGCCCCGAGGTAGCCTCTAGTACCGTAGGAAAACGTTTATTCTGAGCCCACACCTTCCAAGGGCAGGCAGGTGTTCTCAAGAGCTTCGCAGGGCCTTCGCTGGGCAGAGGCAGGAGCACACTGATCGGCAGAACCAGTCCGACGCCTTTGCCCGCGCCGCACCTGCCAGGGCCAACCAGGCCCCGCCCATTTCCTGCCTGCAGTCGGGGAGTCGGTCTCTCCCAGTTCCAACATCAGAATTCCAGAAAAAAAGATGGGGTTGGGTGCCCGAGCCCGGCTCTAGTCTCGGTCCCCCCTTAGCCCCGCTGCCAGGGCTGGGGCGGGTTTTCTCTGAGGGAAGGAAAGGGTGTTCCCTGTGTGGTGCCAGCCTGAAAACAGAAGCTCAGGCCAGTCATCCCCGGTCCCAGGCCGAAGGCGCACCTCATAATCCTCAAGGCCCGCTCTCCCCGCACTCACCCTCAACACAGGACAAAGGCCACTGGACCCCGTTAGGCTAGGACGCCCCCCGGCAGTTGCCCTCGCTGGAAGCTTTTCGGTCCCGGTATCTCTCCGACCCCACGCCAGTAATATTCCTGCACCCCAGCCCAGCCCTGCTCACCGTCCACATCCCGGCGCTCCCCAAAGCCCGCGCGCACAGCTCCAGCGCGGCCTCGCGGGGGGCTCAGCTTGGACCTCAGCTCGGTGAACATGGGGCCCGCGGGTGCCGGGCCCGCGCACACGCCCCTCGCAGAGCGCAGGGCGGCCAGTGTGGCCGGCGGGCAATGCGCGCCGCCGCCCCGCCCAAACCGGTCCCCGCGGCCCGCGATTCTGCGCGGCGAGGCACCTGCCGCCGAGACCCGTACGCCGGGCGCGCTCCGGGAGCTCCGAGGTGTGTCGGCGGCGCGCGGGGCTGTGTGTGCGGAGGGTGTCAGCTAGGGCAAAAGGCGTCTGTGCGCACCTGGGCACTGCCCTGGAGTTCAGGGTCCCCGCGCACCTGCTGGAGGTTCTCTGACGCGGGCAAGCGAGGGACTGAAGGTCCCCCTCTGGGGGTTTGGGTGGGGCGAACGTCCTAACTACTCCTCGGGCCTTCCCCTTCTACCCACCGCGGTCCCGGCGGAGGGCCAGTCCAGCCCCTCCTAAACACTTGCCCAGTCTCCTGTCTCGTGAATGTAATTACACATTCTCCACTGGGGCGTCCTCCTGATCTGGCGGGAGGCCTTTCCCTCAAACGGGCGCCTTTTTCCCCAGAGAAACCTGCGCGACCCTTCGCCCCTATCATCCGGTGTAGCCCCTGAATCTGGATCAGTATTGGTGACGGGCAGCTCAGTGCTCCATTTAGAAGAGCTTGGCTGGGGAGGTGGGAAGAGAAGCGCCAAGGGCTGCAGTAGAAAGGACTGCAGTGTTTCCTCTAGGACCCCAGTAAGAAGTGTTGGAAGTGGTTGCTTGGTCCAGCAAAAGGAAGACCAGGCTTCGACCAGCCGTTTTGCCTTCTCTGCCCAAGAGAAGTTGTAGGTGGGCTTGGCGAATATCTCACGGGAGCAGAGCTGCACCCGGACGTAAAGAAATGTGTGCAGGGTATGGTGGTGCGTGTCCACTCAAGACACGAGCACACACAAGCGCAGTCTCTATGTTTGTGACGCCGGCCCACAAACGGGTGAGAGCTGCATTCAGTTCTTTTTTCAGCTCTGCAGGAGAGGGAGACGGTCAGGGCGTGGCGGGGTCTGACCGCGGGCCCCAGTGGAGCCCTGGGATCCGGGTGCGGAGCGCGCAGAGCAGCAGTCTGCAAAGGGCGCCCACACAGGCAGGCGCGTCTGCCGCCCCACACCAGGTCCGTAAAGCAAGACAGGTTCTTAGTGGGCAGGCCAGCCAGGATCAGCATTGAGGGGGCAGGACGGGCGCGGTGTCCCAGAGCCTGGACACAGGTCTCCCGCCGCGCAGGAACGCTCGGGACGGACCCCGGGGTTTGGCAGAGCGGCGCGCACCGCCTACACAGGTCAGCGTTTTAGAGCTGGCCTGCTTCGCAGCCATGTCCGGAAACTGTCGGAAGCGCGGCGTCCGCGACTTCCGCTCAGGAGGTCCCTCCCACTTGCCTCCCTCCCCCGCCCCCCCGCCCCGCCTCGGCGGAGCTGCTCGCGTCCGAGGGTACTGCTTCCGGGGCGCGGGTGACGGGACGGCTGCGACGCTTCCTTCAGTGACGCTTTCTGCGCGACGTCGGGGACGATTCAGCGCCTTCGGCTGGGGCGATAGCTTCCTTGTCTTTCTCCGCTGGTCACCGCCACTATGAACAAGAAGAAGAAACCGTTCCTGGGCATGCCCGCGCCGCTCGGATACGTGCCGGGGCTGGGCCGGGGGTGAGACAGGACTTCGCGGGGGACGGGAGGAGGTGCCTGGAGAGGGCGGGGCGGGCGGAATGAGGAGCAGCTCACTCCTTACCTGGCGCCCTGCCTCCCACAGCTTTGTCTGTTTTGGCGACGGTGCTCATTGCCCACGCTTCTCCTCTGGATGTGGCGAGATGGGGAAGCTGAGGACAATACGTTGGGGTCCACGGCCACTGGGCAGCGGCCTTTGCGGTCTGAACCGACGTGGCTATGAGGCCTTCCTGCCTCCTAGGAGATGTGACTTGTGGCTTAACTATGCGGGGCGTTGAACCCCAGTGTTTTGGTGTTTAAAATGGGTAATAGGTGTACCGTGTGGAGCAGGTGATGAATCCCTGGTGTGTAGTAGTAACGTGATTCTTTCCTTGCCATAAGCATAACCGATCCTTTCCACCTAGGATTGGTTGCCATAGGCTGCTCATGCAAATTCTCAGCCCTAGGGGACATGCCCAAGTGCCCCATGCCTGCCACGCAGGTGACCGCCATAAGATGTTGGATAAAGTAGCAGTTACTACCGTTTTATTTGGTTATTCATTTGACTACGAAAACTTAGATCTTTCTTGGAAATGGTATTAGGAACTGCAGGGTGCACACAGGGCTCAGATGTTTCACCATTTTCAGAGGACTTGCAGGTCACCAGGGTGCTCACTAGAGATTTGGTGTTTGTATAAATAACTACATAAAGAGCACAGATTTAGAACATTGGGGTTCCAGAGATCAGGGGATGTTTAGTGGTGTGCAGAATTTGAGCCAAGATTAGGAGAGTTGGATTTGAGGATGTCAGATATGGCAGGAGTAGAGGAAGAATTGATGGTGTGTAGGAAAAAAAAAATACCACCACAAGCAGGTATGTAGCTCACTGGTAGTGCTTGCCTACTGTGGGTAAGGTTCTAGGTTCGATTCCTTGCCCCGCCTTGCCTTCAAAAAAAGAAAAGATTAGGTTCAGAGGAAGACCAGGAAACCACAAAAAGTCCAGAGTGAGTGGAACATGAGACAAGTAGAATGGAGCTGCTGGAAGTCAGAGGGGCATTGCTTATCAGTCTGGAGCTTCTGTAGGCTTTGGAGATTCGATGACACTGAAGGTTGCCCTAGTCAGAGCTGTGTTTTGGGAAGAATCACTTGGCAGAGCAAAAATTGAAGTAGGGAAAAGTTAGAGGCTGCAGTGGCTAACTTAATTACCATCTGTGGTGGTAGTCATGGTATAGGGAAGGGAGATTTGAAGGGGGAATCAGTGGTACTTGGGAGCAGGCAGGATGGAGAAGACTGATAGGGAAGACAAAGGTGATGTCATGTGCCTGTCTTGTTACCAGCATGGCCCTGCTGCTAACAGCTGAACGATCCAGAGTGACTACTAGGTGCATAAAAGCTCAATTTGGGACTGGTTGAAAGTGCAGTATGAAGCTGCAACTCGAGAGGAGGGAGTTCTGAAGTCCTGGGCAGGTGCATGGAGAGAAATAGAGATCTCTTGGGGTGGAGGGAAATTGCCTGTAACCTACTCAGGGTAGGTGAAATGTTCAGGCAAGCAGAGAAGACCAGTAGTGTTTGACAACATGGTTTGAGAGCATGGTTCACTGCCACCAGAAGTTCCTAGAGGTTTCTAGAGGTGTTCAAAGGAGAGAGAGATGTTGTTAAGTGATGACCAGGGGTGGAGGAGGATCAGGGTCACCCAGACAACAAATGTCTTGGTGCCTCCTGCAGTGCCACTGGCTTTACCACTCGGTCGGACATTGGGCCTGCCCGGGATGCAAATGATCCTGTGGATGATCGCCATGCCCCACCAGGTAAGAGAACCGTGGGGGACCAGATGAAGAAAAACCAGGCTGCTGATGATGACGATGAAGATCTGAATGACACCAACTATGATGAGGTAAGTTTGTTGGGCTTCTCTGGCTGCTCACACCAGTCTCCAGAAAAGCTGACCAGTTTCTATGTGAAGGGGTCAGATTCATAGGGCATCTTTAGCAGAATGTGAGAGGGGAGCAGTAAAAATACAAAGAAATGAATTTTTTTGGGTCTCTTCAGGAGACATATTTGCAAGTTTAGAACCCTACTGCGTTGCAGGTGTTTTGTTTTACTTGTGGTTAGGATGGTGCTGATGCTTGCTTCAGCTTTAGTGTTCACCCTCTTAGTTCATTGGTTCAGTCATTTGAGGTCTTAGTAACAGGCATCTCTAGATGTCTAGGTCTTTAGATGTCTTTTCCTCCTAGAAAAATATTTTTTTTACAGAATTTTAATTTTGAAATAATTTTAAACTTATAGGAACTTGAGAAATAGTACCTAAAAAAGGAGAAAAAAAAAAAGTCCCCACATATTCTTTAACAAGCTTCCTTCACCCATTTTACATGACCTTAGTACAATTAGTGAAATCTGGAAATTAATGCTGGATACTATATGTTAACTCAGATCTTATTTGAATTTTACATGTTTTTCATGAATGCCTTTTTTTTTTTTTTTT